ACCCGGGTATTACCTTCAGGAAGCCTGAACACCCCAAATATTTTTTTCTTCATTTTACATTTTTGTTGGTGTAACCAACTCCAAAAGGTTGGAAAAGAGTTCCTACAAAGGTTTTGGACAGTGATTTTAACCCTAATGCCAAAAACCTTAAACCTTACCATAGCCTCAAAATCTAATACCCGGGTATTACATTCAGGAACCCCGAAAACCCCAAATATTGTTTTTTAATTTTTCATTTTTTTTTGGTCTAACTAACTCCAAAAGGTTGGAAAAGAGTTCCTACAAAGGTTTTGGAAAGTGATTTTAACCCTAACGCCAAAAAACTTAAACCTTACCCTAGCCTTAAAATCTAATACCCGGGTATTACATTAAGGAAGCCCAAACACCCCAAATATTTTTTTTTTCATTTTACTTTTTTGTTGTTGTAACCAACTCCAAAAGGTTGGAAAAGAGTTCCTACAAAGGTTTTGGACAGTGATTTTAACCCTAACGCCAAAAAACTTAAACCTTTCCCTAGCCCCATAACCTAATTCCCGGGTATTACCTTCAGGAAGCCCGAACACCCCAAATATTTGTTTTTCATTTTACATTTTTGTTGGTGTAACCAACTCCAAAAGGTTGGAAAAGAGTTCCTACAAAGGTTTTGGACAGTGATTTTAACCCTAACGCCGAAAAACTTAAACCTTACCCTGGCATTAAAATCTAATACCCGGGTATTACATTAAGGAAGCCTGAACACCCCAAATATTTTTTTTTCATTTTTCATTTTTTTTGGTCTAACTAACTCCAAAAGGTTGGAAAAGAGTTCCTACAAAGGTTTTGGACAGTGATTTTAACCCTAACGCCAAAAACCTTAAACCTTTCCCCAGTCCCAAAACCTAATACCTGGGTATTACCTTCAGGGAGCCCGAAAACCCCCAATAATATTTTTTTCTTTTTTCATATTTTTTGGTCTAACTAACTCCAAAAGGTTGGAAAAGAGTTCCTACAAAGGTTTTGGACAGTGATTTTAACCCTAACGCCAAAAACCTTAAACCTTACCCTAGCCTTAAAATCTAATACCCGGGTATTACCTTCAGGAAGCCTGAACACCCCAAATATTTTTTTTTTCATTTTTCATTTTTTTTGGTCTAACTAACTCCAAAAGGTTGGAAAAGAGTTCCTACAAAGGTTTTGGACAGTGATTTTAACCCTAACGCCAAAAAACTTAAACCTTACCCTGGCCTTAAAATCTAATACCTGGGTATTACTTTCAGGAAGCCCGAACACCCCAAATATTTTTTTTTTTCATTTTACATTTTTTTTGGTCACCTAACTCCAAAAGGTTGGAAAAGAGTTCCTACAAAGGTTTTGGACAGTGATTTTAACCCTAACGCCAAAAAACTTAAACCTTACCCTAGCCTTAAAATCTAATACCCGGGTATTACCTTCAGGAAGCCCGAAAACCCCAAATATTTTTTTTTCATTTTTCATTTTTTTTGGTCTAACTAACTCCAAAAGGTTGGAAAAGAGTTCCTACAAAGGTTTTGGACAGTGATTTTAACCCTAACGCCAAAAACCTTAAACCTTACCATAGCCCCATAACCTAATACCCGGGTATTACTTTTAGGAAGCCTGAACACCCCAAATATTTTTTTTTTTCATTTTTCATTTTTTTTGGTCTAACTAACTCCAAAAGGTTGGAAAAGAGTTCCTACAAAGGTTTTGGACAGTGATTTTAACCCTAACGCCAAAAACCTTAAACCTTACCCTAGCCCTTGAAATCTAATACCCGGGTATTACCTTCAGGAAGCCTGAACACCCCAAATATTTTTTTCTTTTTTCATTTTTTTGGTCTAACCAACTCCAAAAGGTTGGAAAAGAGTTCCTACAAAGGTTTTGGACAGTGATTTTAACCCTAACGCCAAAAAACCTTAAACCTTACCCTAGCCTTAAAATCTAATACCCGGGTATTACCTTCAGGAAGCCTGAACACCCCAAATATTTTTTTTTCATTTTTCTTTTTTTTTTGGTCTAACTAACTCCAAAAGGTTGGAAAAGAGTTCCTACAAAGGTTTTGGACAGTGATTTTAACCCTAACGCCAAAAACCTTAAACCTTACCCTAGCCCCATAACCTAATACCCGGGTATTACATTCAGGAACCCCGAAAACCCCAAATATTGTTTTTTAATTTTTCATTTTTTTTTGGTCTAACTAACTCCAAAAGGTTGGAAAAGAGTTCCTACAAAGGTTTTGGACAGTGATTTTAACCCTAACGCCAAAAAACTTAAACCTTACCATAGCCCCATAACCTAATACCTGGGTATTACTTTTAGGAAGCCTGAACACCCCAAATATTTTTTTTTCATTTTTCTTTTTTTTTTGGTCTAACCAACTCCAAAAGGTTGGAAAAGAGTTCCTACAAAGGTTTTGGACAGTGATTTTAACCCTAACGCCAAAAACCTTAAACCTTACCATAGCCCCAAAATCTAATACCCGGGTATTACTTTCAGGAAGCCCGAACACCCCAAATATTTTTTTTTCATTTTACATTTTTTTTGGTGTAACTAACTCCAAAAGGTTGGAAAAGAGTTCCTACAAAGGTTTTGGACAGTGATTTTAACCCTAACGCCAAAAAACTTAAACCTTACCCTAGCCTTAAAATCTAATACCCGGGTATTACTTTCAGGAAGCCCGAAAACCCCAAATATTTTTTTTTCATTTTTTCATTTTTTTTTGGTCTAACTAACTCCAAAAGGTTGGAAAAGAGTTCCTACAAAGGTTTTGGACAGTGATTTTAACCCTAACGCCAAAAACCTTAAACCTTACCATAGCCCCATAACCTAATACCCGGGTATTACTTTTAGGAAGCCTGAACACCCCAAATATTTTTTTTTCATTTTTCATTTTTTTTTTGGTCTAACTAACTCCAAAAGGTTGGAAAAGAGTTCCTACAAAGGTTTTGGACAGTGATTTTAACCCTAACGCCAAAAAACTTAAACCTTACCCTAGCCTTAAAATCTAATACCCGGGTATTACCTTCAGGAAGCCTGAACACCCCAAATATTTTTTTTTCATTTTTCTTTTTTTTTGGTCTAACTAACTCCAAAAGGTTGGAAAAGAGTTCCTACAAAGGTTTTGGACAGTGATTTTAACCCTAACGCCAAAAACCTTAAACCTTACCCTAGCCCCATAACCTAATACCCGGGTATTACCTTCAGGAAGCCTGAACACCCCAAATATTTGTTTTTCATTTTACATTTTTGTTGGTCTAACTAACTCCAAAAGGTTGGAAAAGAGTTCCTACAAAGGTTTTGGACAGTGATTTTAACCCTAACGCCAAAAAACTTAAACCTTACCCTGGCATTAAAATCTAATACCCGGGTATTACTTTTAGGAAGCCTGAACACCCCAAATATTTTTTTTTCATTTTTCATTTTTTTTGGTCTAACTAACTCCAAAAGGTTGGAAAAGAGTTCCTACAAAGGTTTTGGACAGTGATTTTAACCCTAACGCCAAAAACCTTAAACCTTACCATAGCCCCATAACCTAATACCCGGGTATTACTTTTAGGAAGCCTGAACACCCCAAATATTTTTTTTTCATTTTTCTTTTTTTTTGGTCTAACTAACTCCAAAAGGTTGGAAAAGAGTTCCTACAAAGGTTTTGGACAGTGATTTTAACCCTAACGCCAAAAACCTTAAACCTTACCCTAGCCTTAAAATCTATTACCCGGGTATTACCTTCAGGAAGCCCGAACACCCCAAATATTTTTTTCTTCATTTTACATTTTTGTTGGTGTAACCAACTCCAAAAGGTTGGAAAAGAGTTCCTACAAAGGTTTTGGACAGTGATTTTAACCCTAACGCCAAAAACCTTAAAACTTACCATAGCCCCATAACCTAATTCCCGGGTATTACCTTCAGGAAGCCCGAACACCCCAAATATTTTTTTTTTCATTTTTCATTTTTTTTGGTCTAACCAACTCCAAAAGGTTGGAAAAGAGTTCCTACAAAGGTTTTGGACAGTGATTTTAACCCTAACGCCAAAAACCTTAAACCTTACCATAGCCCCATAACCTAATACCTGGATATTACTTTTAGGAAGCCTGAACACCCCAAATATTTGTTTTTCATTTTACATTTTTGTTGGTGTAACCAACTCCAAAAGGTTGGAAAAGAGTTCCTACAAAGGTTTTGGACAGTGATATTAACCCTAACGCCAAAAACCTTAAACCTTACCATGGCCCCATAACCTAATACCCAGGTATTACTTTTAGGAAGCCCGAACACCCCAAATATTTGTTTTTCATTTTACATTTTTGTTTGTGTAACCAACTCCAAAAGGTTGGAAAAGAGTTCCTACAAAGGTTTTGGACAGTGATTTTAACCCTAACGCCAAAAACCTTAAACCTTACCCTAGCCCCATAACCTAATTCCCGGGTATTACCTTCAGGAAGCCCGAACACCCCAAATATTTGTTTTTCATTTTACATTTTTGTTTGTGTAACCAACTCCAAAAGGTTGGAAAAGAGTTCCTACAAAGGTTTTGGACAGTGATTTTAACCCTAACGCCAAAAACCTTAAACCTTACCATAGCCCCATAACCTAATACCCGGGTATTACTTTTAGGAAGCCTGAACACCCCAAATATTTTTTTTTCATTTTTCTTTTTTTTTTGGTCTAACTAACTCCAAAAGGTTGGAAAAGAGTTCCTACAAAGGTTTTGGACAGTGATTTTAACCCTAACGCCAAAAACCTTAAAACTTACCCTAGCCCCATAACCTAATTCCCGGGTATTACCTTCAGGAAGCCCGAACACCCCAAATATTTTTTTTTTTCATTTTACATTTTTGTTGGTGTAACCAACTCCAAAAGGTTGGAAAAGAGTTCCTACAAAGGTTTTGGACAGTGATTTTAACCCTAACGCCAAAAACCTTAAACCTTACCCTAGCCCCATAACCTAATACCCGGGTATTACTTTTAGGAAGCCTGAACACCCCAAATATTTTTTTTTCATTTTTCATTTTTTTGGTCTAACTAACTCCAAAAGGTTGGAAAAGAGTTCCTACAAAGGTTTTGGACAGTGATTTTAACCCTAACGCCAAAAACCTTAAACCTTACCATAGCCCCATAACCTAATACCCGGGTATTACATTAAGGAAGCCCGAACACCCCAAATATTTTTTTTTCATTTTTCATTTTTTTTGGTCTAACTAACTCCAAAAGGTTGGAAAAGAGTTCCTACAAAGGTTTTGGACAGTGATTTTAACCCTAACGCCAAAAACCTTAAACCTTACCATAGCCCCATAACCTAATACCTGGATATTACTTTTAGGAAGCCTGAACACCCCAAATATTTTTTTTTCATTTTTCTTTTTTTTTTGGTCTAACTAACTCCAAAAGGTTGGAAAAGAGTTCCTACAAAGGTTTTGGACAGTGATTTTAACCCTAACGCCAAAAACCTTAAAACTTACCCTAGCCCCATAACCTAATTCCCGGGTATTACCTTCAGGAAGCCCGAACACCCCAAATATTTGTTTTTCATTTTACATTTTTGTTGGTGTAACCAACTCCAAAAGGTTGGAAAAGAGTTCCTACAAAGGTTTTGGACAGTGATTTTAACCCTAACGCCAAAAACCTTAAACCTTACCTAGCCCCATAACCTAATACCCGGGTATTACCTTCAGGAAGCCCGAACACCCCAAATATTTTTTTTTCATTTTTCATTCTTTTTTGGTCTAACTAACTCCAAAAGGTTGGAAAAGAGTTCCTACAAAGGTTTTGGACAGTGATTTTAACCCTAACGCCAAAAACCTTAAACCTTACCATGGCCCCATAACCTAATACCCGGGTATTACTTTTAGGAAGCCTGAACACCCCAAATATATATATTTTTCATTTTACATTTTTGTTGGTGTAACCAACTCCAAAAGGTTGGAAAAGAGTTCCTACAAAGGTTTTGGACAGTGATTTTAACCCTAACGCCAAAAAACTTAAACCTTACCCTAGCCTTGAAATCTAATACCCGGGTATTACCTTCAGGAAGCCTGAACACCCCAAATATTTTTTTTTCATTTTTCTTTTTTTTTGGTCTAACTAACTCCAAAAGGTTGGAAAAGAGTTCCTACAAAGGTTTTGGACAGTGATTTTAACCCTAACGCCAAAAACCTTAAACCTTTCCCTAGTCCCAAAACCTAATACCCGGGTATTACTTTCAGGGAGCCCGAAAACCCCCAATAATATTTTTTTCTTTTTTCATATTTTTTGGTCTAACTAACTCCAAAAGGTTGGAAAAGAGTTCCTACAAAGGTTTTGGACAGTGATTTTAACCCTAACGCCAAAAACCTTAAACCTTTCCCTAGCCTTGAAATCTAATACCCGGGTATTACCTTCAGGAAGCCTGAACACCCCAAAATATTTTTTTTTCATTTTACATTTTTGTTGGTGTAACCAACTCCAAAAGGTTGGAAAAGAGTTCCTACAAAGGTTTTGGACAGTGATTTTAACCCTAACGCCAAAAAACTTAAACCTTACCCTAGCCTCAAAATCTAATTCCCGGGTATTACATTCAGGAACCCCGAAAACCCCAAATATTTTTTTTTTTTTTTTCATTTTTTTTTGGTCTAACTAACTCCAAAAGGTTGGAAAAGAGTTCCTACAAAGGTTTTGGACAGTGATTTTAACCCTAACGCCAAAAAACTTAAACCTTACCATAGCCCCATAACCTAATACCCGGGTATTACCTTCAGGAAGCCCAAACACCCCAAATATTTTTTTTTCATTTTACTTTTTTGTTGTTGTAACCAACTCCAAAAGGTTGGAAAAGAGTTCCTACAAAGGTTTTGGACAGTGATTTTAACCCTAATGCCAAAAAACTTAAACCTTACCCTGGCATTAAAATCTAATACCCGGGTATTACATTCAGGAAGCCTGAACACCCCAAATATTTTTTTTTTTCATTTTTCATTTTTTTTGGTCTAACTAACTCCAAAAGGTTGGAAAAGAGTTCCTACAAAGGTTTTGGACAGTGATTTTAACCCTAACGCCAAAAACCTTAAACCTTACCATAGCCCCATAACCTAATACCCGGGTATTACTTTCAGGGAGCCCGAAAACCCCCAATAATATTTTTTTCTTTTTTCATATTTTTTGGTCTAACTAACTCCAAAAGGTTGGAAAAGAGTTCCTACAAAGGTTTTGGACAGTGATTTTAACCCTAACGCCAAAAACCTTAAACCTTACCATAGCCCCATAACCTAATACCCGGGTATTACTTTTAGGAAGCCTGAACACCCCAAATATTTTTTTTTCATTTTTCTTTTTTTTTTGGTCTAACTAACTCCAAAAGGTTGGAAAAGAGTTCCTACAAAGGTTTTGGACAGTGATTTTAACCCTAACGCCAAAAACCTTAAACCTTACCAAAGCCCCATAACCTAATACCCGGGTATTACTTTTAGGAAGCCTGAACACCCCAAATATTTTTTTTTCATTTTTCTTTTTTTTTTGGTCAAACTAACTCCAAAAGGTTGGAAATGTTCCTACAAAGGTTTTGGACAGTGATTTTAACCCTAACGCCAAAAACCTTAAACCTTATTACCTTCAGGAAGCCTGAACACCCCAAATATTTTTTTCTTTTTTCATATTTTTTGGTCTAACTAACTCCAAAAGGTTGGAAAAGAGTTCCTACAAAGGTTTTGGACAGTGATTTTAACCCTAACGCCAAAAACCTTAAACCTTACCCTAGCCTTGAAATCTAATACCCGGGTATTACCTTCAGGAAGCCTGAACACCCAAAATATTTTTTTCTTCATCTTACATTTTTGTTGGTGTAACCAACTCCAAAAGGTTGGAAAAGAGTTCCTACAAAGGTTTTGGACAGTGATTTTAACCCTAACGCCAAAAAACTTAAACCTTACCCTAGCCTTAAAATCTAATACCCGGGTATTACATTCAGGAAGCCCGAAAACCCCAAATATATATTTTTTCATTTTTCATTTTTTTTGGTCTAACTAACTCCAAAAGGTTGGAAAAGAGTTCCTACAAAGGTTTTGGACAGTGATTTTAACCCTAACGCCAAAAACTTAAACCTTACCCTAGCCTTAAAATCTAATACCCGGGTATTACATTCAGGAAGCCCGAAAACCCCAAATATTTTTTTTTTCATTTTTCATTTTTTTTTGGTCTAACTAACTCCAAAAGGTTGGAAAAGAGTTCCTACAAAGGTTTTGGACAGTGATTTTAACCCTAACGCCAAAAACCTTAAACCTTACCCTAGCCTCAAAATCTAATACCCGGGTATTACTTTCAGGGAGCACGAAAACCCCCATTGATTTTTTTTCTTTTTTCATTTTTTTTGGTCTAACTAACTCCAAAAGGTTGGAAAAGAGTTCCTACAAAGGTTTTGGACAGTGATTTTAACCCTAACGCCAAAAACCTTAAACCTTACCCTAGCCTTAAAATCTACCTTCGGGCTACCTTCAGGAAGCCCGAACACCCCAAATATTTTTTTCTTCATTTTACATTTTTGTTGGTGTAACCAACTCCAAAAGGTTGGAAAAGAGTTCCTACAAAGGTTTTGGACAGTGATTTTAACCCTAACGCCAAAAAACTTAAACCTTACCCTAGCCTTAAAATCTAATACCCGGGTATTACATTCAGGAACCCCTAAAACCCCAAATATTGTTTTTTAATTTTTCATTTTTTTTTTGGTCTAACTAACTCCAAAAGGTTGGAAAAGAGTTCCTACAAAGGTTTTGGACAGTGATTTTAACCCTAACGCCAAAAACCTTAAACCTTACTCTAGCCCCATAACCTAATACCCGGGTATTACTTTTAGGAAGCCTGAACACCCCAAATATTTTTTTTTCATTTTTCTTTTTTTTTTTGGTCTAACTAACTCCAAAAGGTTGGAAAAGAGTTCCTACAAAGGTTTTGGACAGTGATTTTAACCCTAACGCCAAAAACCTTAAACCTTACCCTAGCCTTGAAATCTAATACCCGGGTATTACATTCAGGAAGCCCGAAAACCCCAAATATATATTTTTTCATTTTTCATTTTTTTTGGTCTAACTAACTCCAAAAGGTTGGAAAAGAGTTCCTACAAAGGTTTTGGACAGTGATTTTAACCCTAACGCCAAAAAACTTAAACCTTACCCTAGCCTTAAAATCTAATACCCGGGTATTACCTTCAGGAAGCCCGAACACCCCAAATATATATTTTTTCATTTTTCTTTTTTTTTTTGGTCAAACTAACTCCAAAAGGTTGGAAAAGAGTTCCTACAAAGGTTTTGGACAGTGATTTTAACCCTAACGCCAAAAACCTTAAACCTTACCATAGCCCCATAACCTAATACCCGGGTATTACTTTTAGGAAGCCTGAACACCCCAAATATTTTTTTTCATTTTTTTTTTTTTTGGTCTAACTAACTCCAAAAGGTTGGAAAAGAGTTCCTACAAAGGTTTTGGACAGTGATTTTAACCCTAACGCCAAAAACCTTAAACCTTACCCTAGCCGATAAATCTAATACCCGGGTATTACCTTCAGGAAGCCTGAACACCCCAAATATATTTTTTTTCTTTTTTCATATTTTTTGGTCTAACTAACTCCAAAAGGTTGGAAAAGAGTTCCTACAAAGGTTTTGGACAGTGATTTTAACCCTAACGCCAAAAACCTTAAACCTTACCCTAGCCTTGAAATCTAATACCCGGGTATTACATTCAGGAACCCCGAAAACCCCAAATATTGTTTTTTAATTTTTCATTTTTTTTTGGTCTAACTAACTCCAAAAGGTTGGAAAAGAGTTCCTACAAAGGTTTTGGACAGTGATTTTAACCCTAACGCCAAAAACCTTAAACCTTACCATAGCCCCATAACCTAATACCCGGGTATTACTTTTAGGAAGCCTGAACACCCCAAATATTTTTTTTTCATTTTTCATTTTTTTTGGTCTAACTAACTCCAAAAGGTTGGAAAAGAGTTCCTACAAAGGTTTTGGACAGTGATTTTAACCCTAACGCCAAAAACCTTAAACCTTACCCTAGCCTTGAAATCTAATACCCGGGTATTACCTTCAGGAAGCCTGAACACCCCAAATATTTTTTTCTTTTTTCATATTTTTTGGTCTAACTAACTCCAAAAGGTTGGAAAAGAGTTCCTACAAAGGTTTTGGACAGTGATTTTAACCCTAACGCCAAAAACCTTAAACCTTACCATAGCCCCATAACCTAATACCCGGGTATTACTTTTAGGAAGCCTGAACACCCCAAATATTTTTTTTTCATTTTTCTTTTTTTTTTTGGTCTAACTAACTCCAAAAGGTTGGAAAAGAGTTCCTACAAAGGTTTTGGACAGTGATTTTAACCCTAACGCCAAAAAACTTAAACCTTACCCTAGCCTTAAAATCTAATACCCGGGTATTACATTCAGGAAGCCCGAAAACCCCAAATATATATTTTTTTTTTTTTCATTTTTTTTGGTCTAACTAACTCCAAAAGGTTGGAAAAGAGTTCCTACAAAGGTTTTGGACAGTGATTTTAACCCTAACGCCAAAAAACTTAAACCTTACCCTAGCCTTAAAATCTAATACCCGGGTATTACATTCAGGAAGCCCGAAAACCCCAAATATATATTTTTTCATTTTTCTTTTTTTTTTGGTCTAACTAACTCCAAAAGGTTGGAAAAGAGTTCCTACAAAGGTTTTGGACAGTGATTTTAACCCTAACGCCAAAAACCTTAAACCTTACCCTAGCCCCATAACCTAATACCCGGGTATTACTTTTAGGAAGCCTGAACACCCCAAATATTTTTTTTTCATTTTTCTTTTTTTTTTGGTCTAACTAACTCCAAAAGGTTGGAAAAGAGTTCCTACAAAGGTTTTGGACAGTGATTTTAACCCTAACGCCAAAAACCTTAAACCTTACCCTAGCCTTGAAATCTAATACCCGGGTATTACCTTCAGGAAGCCTGAACACCCCAAATATTTTTTTCTTTTTTCATATTTTTTGGTCTAACTAACTCCAAAAGGTTGGAAAAGAGTTCCTACAAAGGTTTTGGACAGTGATTTTAACCCTAACGCCAAAAACCTTAAACCTTACCCTAGCCTTGAAATCTAATACCCGGGTATTACATTCAGGAACCCCGAAAACCCCAAATATTGTTTTTTAATTTTTCATTTTTTTTTGGTCTAACTAACTCCAAAAGGTTGGAAAAGAGTTCCTACAAAGGTTTTGGACAGTGATTTTAACCCTAACGCCAAAAACCTTAAACCTTACCATAGCCCCATAACCTAATACCCGGGTATTACTTTTAGGAAGCCTGAACACCCCAAATATTTTTTTTTCATTTTTCATTTTTTTTGGTCTAACTAACTCCAAAAGGTTGGAAAAGAGTTCCTACAAAGGTTTTGGACAGTGATTTTAACCCTAACGCCAAAAACCTTAAACCTTACCCTAGCCTTAAAATCTAATACCCGGGTATTACCTTCAGGAAGCCTGAACACCCCAAATATTTTTTTCTTTTTTCATATTTTTTGGTCTAACTAACTCCAAAAGGTTGGAAAAGAGTTCCTACAAAGGTTTTGGACAGTGATTTTAACCCTAACGCCAAAAACCTTAAACCTTACCCTAGCCTTGAAATCTAATACCCGGGTATTACATTCAGGAACCCCGAAAACCCCAAATATTGTTTTTTAATTTTTCATTTTTTTTTGGTCTAACTAACTCCAAAAGGTTGGAAAAGAGTTCCTACAAAGGTTTTGGACAGTGATTTTAACCCTAACGCCAAAAACCTTAAACCTTACCCTAGCCCCATAACCTAATACCCGGGTATTACCTTCAGGAAGCCTGAACACCCCAAATATTTTTTTTTTCATTTTTCTTTTTTGGTCTAACCAACTCCAAAAGGTTGGAAAAGAGTTCCTACAAAGGTTTTGGACAGTGATTTTAACCCTAACGCCAAAAAACTTAAACCTTACCCTAGCCTTAAAATCTAATACCCGGGTATTACTTTCAGGAAGCCCGAACACCCCAAATATTTTTTTTTCATTTTACATTTTTTTTGGTGTAACCAACTCCAAAAGGTTGGAAAAGAGTTCCTACAAAGGTTTTGGACAGTGATTTTAACCCTAATGCCAAAAAACTTAAACCTTACCCTAGCCTTAAAATCTAATACCCGGGTATTACATTCAGGAAGCCCGAAAACCCCCAATATATTTTTTTTCATTTTTCATTTTTTTTTGGTTAACTAACTCCAAAAGGTTGGAAAAGAGTTCCTACAAAGGTTTTGGACAGTGATTTTAACCCTAACGCCAAAAACCTTAAACCTTACCATAGCCCCATAACCTAATACCCAGGTATTACTTTTAGGAAGCCTGAACACCCCAAATATTTTTTTTTTCATTTTTCTTTTTTTTTTGGTCTAACTAACTCCAAAAGGTTGGAAAAGAGTTCCTACAAAGGTTTTGGACAGTGATTTTAACCCTAACGCCAAAAAACTTAAACCTTACCCTAGCCTTAAAATCTAATACCCGGGTATTACATTCAGGAAGCCCGAACACCCCAAATATTTTTTTTTTCATTTTACATTTTTTTTTGGTGTAACCAACTCCAAAAGGTTGGAAAAGAGTTCCTACAAAGGTTTTGGACAGTGATTTTAACCCTAACGCCAAAAACCTTAAACCTTACCCTAGCCTTGAAATCTAATACCCGGGTATTACCTTCAGGAAGCCTGAACACCCAAAATATTTTTTTCTTTTTTCATATTTTTTGGTCTAACTAACTCCAAAAGGTTGGAAAAGAGTTCCTACAAAGGTTTTGGACAGTGATTTTAACCCTAACGCCAAAAACCTTAAACCTTACCCTAGCCTTGAAATCTAATACCCGGGTATTACATTCAGGAAGCCTGAACACCCCAAATATTTTTTTTTAATTTTTCATTTTTTTTGGTCTAACTAACTCCAAAAGGTTGGAAAAGAGTTCCTACAAAGGTTTTGGACAGTGATTTTAACCCTAACGCCAAAAAACTTAAACCTTACCATAGCCCCATAACCTAATACCCTGGGTATTACTTTTAGGAAGCCTGAACACCCCAAATATTTTTTTTTCATTTTTCTTTTTTTTTGGTCTAACCAACTCCAAAAGGTTGGAAAAGAGTTCCTACAAAGGTTTTGGACAGTGATTTTAACCCTAACGCCAAAAACCTTAAACCTTACCATAGCCCCATAACCTAATACCCGGGTATTACTTTTAGGAAGCCTGAACACCCCAAATATTTTTTTTTCATTTTTCATTTTTTTTGGTCTAACTAACTCCAAAAGGTTGGAAAAGAGTTCCTACAAAGGTTTTGGACAGTGATTTTAACCCTAACGCCAAAAACCTTAAACCTTACCCTAGCCTTGAAATCTAATACTCGGGTATTGCCTTCAGGAAGCCTGAACACCCCAAATATTTTTTTCATTTTTCATTCTTTTTTTGGTCTAACTAACTCCAAAAGGTTGGAAAAGAGTTCCTACAAAGGTTTTGGACAGTGATTTTAACCCTAACGCCAAAAACCTTAAACCTTACCCTAGCCTTGAAATCTAATACCCGGGTATTACATTCAGGAAGCCTGAACACCCAAAATATTTTTTTCTTCATCTTACATTTTTGTTGGTGTAACCAACTCCAAAAGGTTGGAAAAGAGTTCCTACAAAGGTTTTGGACAGTGATTTTAACCCTAACGCCAAAAAACCTTAAACCTTACCCTAGCCTCAAAATCTAATACCCGGGTATTACTTTCAGGAACCCCGAAAACCCCAAATATTTTTTTTTATTTTTTCATTTTTTTTTGGTCTAACTAACTCCAAAAGGTTGGAAAAGAGTTCCTACAAAGGTTTTGGACAGTGATTTTAACCCTAACGCCAAAAACCTTAAACCTTACCCTAGCCCCATAACCTAATTCCCGGGTATTACCTTCAGGAAGCCCGAACACCCCAAATATTTGTTTTTCATTTTACATTTTTGTTGGTCTAACTAACTCCAAAAGGTTGGAAAAGAGTTCCTACAAAGGTTTTGGACAGTGATTTTAACCCTAACGCCAAAAACCTTAAACCTTACCCTAGCATTAAAATCTAATACCCGGGTATTACTTTCAGGAACCCCGAAAACCCCAAATATTTTTTTTTTATTTATTCATTTTTTTTTGGTGAAACCAACTCCAAAAGGTTGGAAAAGAGTTCCTACAAAGGTTTTGGACAGTGATTTTAACCCTAATGCCAAAAAACTTAAACCTTACCCTAGCCTCAAAATCTAATACCCGGGTATTACATTCAGGAAGCCCGAAAACCCCAAATATTTTTTTTTCATTTTTCATTTTTTTTGGTCTAACTAACTCCAAAAGGTTGGAAAAGAGTTCCTACAAAGGTTTTGGACAGTGATTTTAACCCTAACGCCAAAAAACTTAAACCTTACCCTAGCCCCATAACCTAATACCTGGATATTACTTTTAGGAAGCCTGAACACCCCAAATATTTTTTTTTCATTTTTCTTTTTTTTTTTTGGTCAAACTAACTCCAAAAGGTTGGAAAAGAGTTCCTACAAAGGTTTTGGACAGTGATTTTAACCCTAACGCCAAAAACCTTAAAACTTACCCTAGCCCCATAACCTAATACCCGGGTATTACCTTCAGGAAGCCCGAACACCCCAAATATTTTTTTTTCATTTTACATTTTTGTTGGTGTTACCAACTCCAAAAGGTTGGAAAAGAGTTCCTACAAAGGTTTTGGACAGTGATTTTAACCCTAACGCCAAAAACCTTAAACCTTACCCTGGCATTAAAATCTAATACCCGGGTATTACCTTCAGGAAGCCCAAACACCCCAAATATTTTTTTTTCATTTTACTTTTTTGTTGTTGTAACCAACTCCAAAAGGTTGGAAAAGAGTTCCTACAAAGGTTTTGGACAGTGATTTTAACCCTAACGCCAAAAACCTTAAACCTTTCCCTAGTCCCAAAACCTAAAACCCGGGTATTACATTCAGGAAGCCCGGAAACCCCAAATATTTTTTTTTTCATTTTTCATTCTTTTTTTGGTCTAACTAACTCCAAAAGGTTGGAAAAGAGTTCCTACAAAGGTTTTGGACAGTGATTTTAAACCTAACTCCAAAACGTAAAACCTTACCATAGCCCCATAACCTAATACCCGGGTATTACTTTTAGGAAGCCTGAACACCCCAAATATTTTTTTTTCATTTTTCATTTTTTTTTTTGGTCTAACTAACTCCAAAAGGTTGGAAAAGAGTTCCTACAAAGGTTTTGGACAGTGATTTTAACCCTAACGCCAAAAACCTTAAACCTTACCTAGTCCCAAAACCTTGTACCCGGGTATTACTTTCAGGGAGCCCGAAAACCCCCAATAATTTTTTTTTTCTTTTTTCATTTTTTTTGGTGTAACCAACTCCAAAAGGTTGGAAAAGAGTTCCTACAAAGGTTTTGGACAGTGATTTTAACCCTAACGCCAAAAAACTTAAACCTTACCCTAGCCTTAAAATCCTAATACCGGGTATTACCTTCAGGAAGCCCGAACACCCCAAATATTTTTTTTTCATTTTACATTTTTGTTGGTGTAACCAACTCCAAAAGGTTGGAAAAGAGTTCCTACAAAGGTTTTGGACAGTGATTTTAACCCTAACGCCAAAAAACTTAAACCTTACCCTAGCCTTAAAATCTAATACCCGGGTATTACATTCAGGAAGCCCGAAAACCCCAAATATATATTTTTTCATTTTTCTTTTTTTTTTTTGGTCTAACTAACTCCAAAAGGTTGGAAAAGAGTTCCTACAAAGGTTTTGGACAGTGATTTTAACCCTAACGCCAAAAAACTTAAACCTTACCCTAGCCTTAAAATCTAATACCCGGGTATTACATTCAGGAAGCCCGAAAACCCCAAATATATATTTTTTCATTTTTCATTTTTTGGTCTAACTAACTCCAAAAGGTTGGAAAAGAGTTCCTACAAAGGTTTTGGACAGTGATTTTAACCCTAACGCCAAAAAACTTAAACCTTACCCTAGCCTTAAAATCTAATACCCGGGTATTACATTCAGGAAGCCCGAAAACCCCAAATATATATTTTTTCATTTTTCATTTTTTTTCGGTCAAACTAACTCCAAAAGGTTGGAAAAGAGTTCCTACAAAGGTTTTGGACAGTGATTTTAACCCTAACGCCAAAAACCTTAAACCTTACCCTAGCCAAAAAACCTAATACCCGGGTATTACATTCAGGAAGCCCGGAAACCCCAAATATTTTTTTTTCATTTTTCATTCTTTTTTTGGTCTAACTAACTCCAAAAGGTTGGAAAAGAGTTCCTACAAAGGTTTTGGACAGTGATTTTAACCCTAACGCCAAAAAACTTAAACCTTACCCTAGCCTTAAAATCTAATACCCGGGTATTACATTCAGGAAGCCAGAACACCCCAAATATTTTTTTTTCATTTTTCATTTTTTTTAACTAACTCCAAAAGGTTGGAAAAGAGTTCCTACAAAGGTTTTGGACAGTGATTTTAACCCTAACGCCAAAAACCTTAAACCTTACCATAGCCCCATAACCTAATGCCCAGGTATTACTTTTAGGAAGCCTGAACACCCCAAATATTTTTTTTTTCATTTTTCTTTTTTTTTTGGTCTAACTAACTCCAAAAGGTTGGAAAAGAGTTCCTACAAAGGTTTTGGACAGTGATTTTAACCCTAACGCCAAAAACCTTAAACCTTACCCTAGCCTTGAAATCTAATACCCGGGTATTACCTTCAGGAAGCCTGAACACCCCAAAATATTTTTTTTTCATTTTACATTTTTTTGGTGTAACCAACTCCAAAAGGTTGGAAAAGAGTTCCTACAAAGGTTTTGGACAGTGATTTTAACCCTAACGCCAAAAAACTTAAACCTTACCCTAGCCTCAAAATCTAATACCCGGGTATTACATTCAGGAACCCCGAAAACCCCAAATATTGTTTTTTAATTTTTCATTTTTTTTTGGTCTAACTAACTCCAAAAGGTTGGAAAAGAGTTCCTACAAAGGTTTTGGACAGTGATTTTAACCCTAACGCCAAAAACCTTAAACCTTACCCTAGCCCCATAACCTAATTCCCGGGTATTACCTTCAGGAAGCCCGAACACCCCAAATATTTGTTTTTCATTTTACATTTTTGTTGGTGTAACCAACTCCAAAAGGTTGGAAAAGAGTTCCTACAAAGGTTTTGGACAGTGATTTTAACCCTAACCCCTAAAAATTTAAACCTTACCCTGGCATTAAAATCTAATACCCGGGTATTACATTAAGGAAGCCTGAACACCCCAAATATTTCTTTTTCATTTTTTATTTTTTTTTGTCTAACTAACTCCAAAAGGTTGGAAAAGAGTTCCTACAAAGGTTTTGGACAGTGATTTTAACCCTAACGCCAAAAACCTTAAACCTTTCCCTAGTCCCAAAACCTAATACCCGGGTATTACTTTCAGGGAGCCCGGAAACCCCCAATAATATTTTTTTCTTTTTTCATATTTTTTTGGTCTAACTAACTCCAAAAGGTTGGAAAAGAGTTCCTACAAAGGTTTTGGACAGTGATTTTAACCCTAACGCCAAAAACCTTAAACCTTACCCTAGCCTTAAAATCTACCTTCGGGCTACCTTCAGGAAGCCCGAACACCCCAAATATTTTTTTCTTCATTTTACATTTTTGTTGGTGTAACCAACTCCAAAAGGTTGGAAAAGAGTTCCTACAAAGGTTTTGGACAGTGATATTAACCCTAACGCCAAAAACCTTAAAACTTACCATAGCCCCATAACCTAATTCCCAGGTATTACCTTCAGGAAGCCCGAACACCCCAAATATTTTTTTTTTCATTTTTCATTCTTTTTTGGTCTAACCAACTCCAAAAGGTTGGAAAAGAGTTCCTACAAAGGTTTTGGACAGTGATTTTAACCCTAACGCCAAAAACCTTAAACCTTACCATAGCCCCATAACCTAATACCCGGGTATTACTTTTAGGAAGCCTGAACACCCCAAATATTTTTTTTTCATTTTTCTTTTTTTTTTGGTCTAACTAACTCCAAAAGGTTGGAAAAGAGTTCCTACAAAGGTTTTGGACAGTGATTTTAACCCTAACGCCAAAAACCTTAAAACTTACCCTAGCCCCATAACCTAATACCCGGGTATTACTTTCAGGAAGCCCGAAAACCCCAAATATATTTTTTTTCATTTTTCTTTTTTTTTTGGTCTAACTAACTCCAAAAGGTTGGAAAAGAGTTCCTACAAAGGTTTTGGACAGTGATTTTAACCCTAACGCCAAAAACCTTAAACCTTTCCCCAGTCCCAAAACCTAATACCCGGGTATTACCTTCAGGAAGCCCGAACACCCCAAATATTTGTTTTTCATTTTACATTTTTGTTGGTGTAACCAACTCCAAAAGGTTGGAAAAGAGTTCCTACAAAGGTTTTGGACAGTGATTTTAACCCTAACGCCAAAAAACTTAAACCTTACCATAGCTCCATAACCTAATACCCTGGGTATTACTTTTAGGAAGCCTGAACACCCCAAATATTTTTTTTTATTTTTCTTTTTTTTTTGGTCTAACTAACTCCAAAAGGTTGGAAAAGAGTTCCTACAAAGGTTTTGGACAGTGATTTTAACCCTAACGCCAAAAAACTTAAACCTTACCCTAGCCCCATAACCTAATACCTGGGTATTACTTTTAGGAAGCCTGAACACCCCAAATATTTTTTTTTTCATTTTTCATTTTTTTTTGGTCTAACCAACTCCAAAAGGTTGGAAAAGAGTTCCTACAAAGGTTTTGGACAGTGATTTTAACCCTAACGCCAAAAACCTTAAACCTTACCGTAGCCTTAAAATCTAATACCCGGGTATTACTTTCAGGAAGCCCGAACACCCCAAATATTTTTTTTTTCATTTTACATTTTTTTTGGTGTAACCAACTCCAAAAGGTTGGAAAAGAGTTCCTACAAAGGTTTTGGACAGTGATTTTAACCCTAACGCCAAAAACCTTAAACCTTACCCTAGCCTTAAAATCTAATACCCGGGTATTACATTCAGGAACCCCGAAAACCCCAAATATATTTTTTTTCTTTTTTCATTTTTTTTGGTCTAACTAACTCCAAAAGGTTGGAAAAGAGTTCCTACAAAGGTTTTGGACAGTGATTTTAACCCTAACGCCAAAAACCTTAAACCTTACCCTAGCCTTAAAATCTACCTTCGGGCTACCTTCAGGAAGCCCGAACACCCCAAATATTTTTTTCTTCATTTTACATTTTTGTTGGTGTAACCAACTCCAAAAGGTTGGAAAAGAGTTCCTACAAAGGTTTTGGACAGTGATTTTAACCCTAACGCCAAAAACCTTAAACCTTACCCTAGCCTTGAAATCTAATACCCGGGTATTACCTTCAGGAAGCCTGAACACCCCAAATATTTTTTTCTTTTTTCATATTTTTTGGTCTAACTAACTCCAAAAGGTTGGAAAAGAGTTCCTACAAAGGTTTTGGACAGTGATTTTAACCCTAACGCCAAAAACCTTAAACCTTTCCCCAGTCCCAAAACCTAATACCCGGGTATTACCTTCAGGAAGCCCGAACACCCCAAATATTTTTTTTTCATTTTACATTTTTTTTGGTCTAACTAACTCCAAAAGGTTGGAAAAGAGTTCCTACAAAGGTTTTGGACAGTGATTTTAACCCTAACGCCAAAAACCTTAAACCTTTCCCCAGTCCCAAAACCTAATACCCGGGTATTACCTTCAGGAAGCCCGAACACCCCAAATATTTTTTTTTCATTTTACATTTTTTTTGGTCTAACTAACTCCAAAAGGTTGGAAAAGAGTTCCTACAAAGGTTTTGGACAGTGATTTTAACCCTAACGCCAAAAACCTTAAACCTTACCCTAGCCTTAAAATCTAATACCCGGGTATTACATTCAGGAAGCCCGAAAACCCCAAATATTGTTTTTTCATTTTTCATTTTTTTTGGTCTAACTAACTCCAAAAGGTTGGAAAAGAGTTCCTACAAAGGTTTTGGACAGTGATTTTAACCCTAACGCCAAAAACCTTAAACCTTACCCTAGCCTTAAAATCTACCTTCGGGCTACCTTCAGGAAGCCCGAACACCCCAAATATTTTTTTCTTCATTTTACATTTTTGTTGGTGTAACCAACTCCAAAAGGTTGGAAAAGAGTTCCTACAAAGGTTTTGGACAGTGATTTTAACCCTAACGCCAAAAACCTTAAACCTTACCCTAGCCTTGAAATCTAATACCCGGGTATTACCTTCAGGAAGCCTGAACACCCCAAATATTTTTTTCATTTTTCATATTTTTTGGTCTAACTAACTCCAAAAGGTTGGAAAAGAGTTCCTACAAAGGTTTTGGACAGTGATTTTAACCCTAACGCCAAAAACCTTAAACCTTTCCCCAGTCCCAAAACCTAATACCCGGGTATTACCTTCAGGAAGCCCGAACACCCCAAATATTTGTTTTTCATTTTACATTTTTGTTGGTGTAACCAACTCCAAAAGGTTGGAAAAGAGTTCCTACAAAGGTTTTGGACAGTGATTTTAACCCTAACGCCAAAAACCTTAAACCTTACCCCAGTCCCAAAACCTAATACCCGGGTATTACCTTCAGGAAGCCCGAACACCCCAAATATTTTTTTTTCATTTTACATTTTTGTTGGTGTAACTAACTCCAAAAGGTTGGAAAAGAGTTCCTACAAAGGTTTTGGACAGTGATTTTAACCCTAATGCCAAAAAACTTAAACCTTACCCTAGCCTTGAAATCTAATACCCGGGTATTACCTTCAGGAAGCCTGAACACCCCAAATATTTTTTTCTTCATTTTTCATTTTTTTTTTTGGTCTAACCAACTCCAAAAGGTTGGAAAAGAGTTCCTACAAAGGTTTTGGACAGTGATTTTAACCCTAACGCCAAAAAACCTTAAACCTTACCCTAGCCTCAAAATCTAATACCCGGGTATTACATTCAGGAACCCCGAAAACCCCAAATATTGTTTTTTAATTTTTCATTTTTTTTTGGTCTAACTAACTCCAAAAGGTTGGAAAAGAGTTCCTACAAAGGTTTTGGACAGTGATTTTAACCCTAACGCCAAAAAACTTAAACCTTACCATAGCCCCATAACCTAATACCTGGGTATTACTTTTAGGAAGCCTGAACACCCCAAATATTTTTTTTTCATTTTTCTTTTTTTTTTGGTCTAACCAACTCCAAAAGGTTGGAAAAGAGTTCCTACAAAGGTTTTGGACAGTGATTTTAACCCTAACGCCAAAAAACTTAAACCTTACCCTGGCCTTAAAATCTAATACCTGGGTATTACTTTCAGGAAGCCCGAACACCCCAAATATTTTTTTTTTTTCATTTTTCTTTTTTTTTTTGGTCTAACTAACTCCAAAAGGTTGGAAAAGAGTTCCTACAAAGGTTTTGGACAGTGATTTTAACCCTAATGCCAAAAAACTTAAACCTTACCCTAGCCTTAAAATCTAATACCCGGGTATTACATTCAGGAAGAAAACCCCAAATATTGTTTTTTCATTTTTCATTTTTTTTTTGGTCTAACTAACTCCAAAAGGTTGGAAAAGAGTTCCTACAAAGGTTTTGGACAGTGATTTTAACCCTAACGCCAAAAACCTTAAACCTTACCATAGCCCCATAACCTAATACCCGGGTATTACTTTTAGGAAGCCTGAACACCCCAAATATTTTTTTTTCATTTTTTTTTTTTTTTTGGTCTAACTAACTCCAAAAGGTTGGAAAAGAGTTCCTACAAAGGTTTTGGACAGTGATTTTAACCCTAACGCCAAAAAACTTAAACCTTACCCGAGCCTTAAAATCTAATACCGGGTATTACCTTCAGGAAGCCCGAACACCCCAAATATTTTTTTTTCATTTTACATTTTTTTTGGTCTAACCAACTCCAAAAGGTTGGAAAAGAGTTCCTACAAAGGTTTTGGACAGTGATTTTAACCCTAACGCCAAAAACCTTAAACCTTACCCTAGCCTTGAAATCTAATACCCGGGTATTACCTTCAGGAAGCCTGAACACCCCAAATATTTTTTTTTTTTTTTCATTTTTTTTGGTCTAACTAACTCCAAAAGGTTGGAAAAGAGTTCCTACAAAGGTTTTGGACAGTGATTTTAACCCTAACGCCAAAAAACTTAAACCTTACCCTAGCCTTAAAATCTAATACCCGGGTATTACCTTCAGGAAGCCCGAACACCCCAAATATTTTTTTTTCATTTTACTTTTTTGTTGGTCTAACCAACTCCAAAAGGTTGGAAAAGAGTTCCTACAAAGGTTTTGGACAGTGATTTTAACCCTAACGCCAAAAAACTTAAACCTTACCCTAGCCTTAAAATCTAATTCCCGGGTATTACCTTCAGGAAGCCCAAACACCCCAAATATTTTTTTTTTCATTTTACATTTTTGTTGGTGTAACCAACTCCAAAAGGTTGGAAAAGAGTTCCTACAAAGGTTTTGGACAGTGATTTTAACCCTAACGCCAAAAACCTTAAACCTTTCCCTAGCCCCAAAACTTAATACTCGGGTATTACTTCCAGGAAGCCCGAAAACCCCAAATATTTTTTTTTTCATTTTTCATTTTTGTTGGTGTAACCAACTCCAAAAGGTTGGAAAAGAGTTCCTACAAAGGTTTTGGACAGTGATTTTAACCCTAACGCCAAAAAACTTAAACCTTACCCTAGCCTTAAAATCTAATACCCGGGTATTACATTCAGGAAGCCCGAAAACCCCAAATATATATTTTTTCATTTTTCATTTTTTTTTGGTCTAACTAACTCCAAAAGGTTGGAAAAGAGTTCCTACAAAGGTTTTGGACAGTGATTTTAACCCTAACGCCAAAAAACTTAAACCTTACCCTAGCCTTAAAATCTAATACCCAGGTTACATTCAGGAAGCCCGAAAACCCCAAATATTTTTTTTTCATTTTTCATTTTTTTTTTGGTCTAACTAACTCCAAAAGGTTGGAAAAGAGTTCCTACAAAGGTTTTGGACAGTGATTTTAACCCTAACGCCAAAAACCTTAAACCTTACCATAGCCCCATAACCTAATACCCAGGTATTACTTTTAGGAAGCCTGAACACCCCAAATATTTTTTTTTCATTTTTCATTTTTTTTTGGTCTAACTAACTCCAAAAGGTTGGAAAAGAGTTCCTACAAAGGTTTTGGACAGTGATTTTAACCCTAACGCCAAAAAACTTAAACCTTACCCTAGCCTTAAAATCTAATACCCGGGTATTACCTTCAGGAAGCCCGAACACCCCAAATATTTTTTTTTTCATTTTACATTTTTTTTGGTCTAACCAACTCCAAAAGGTTGGAAAAGAGTTCCTACAAAGGTTTTGGACAGTGATTTTAACCCTAACGCCAAAAACCTTAAACCTTACCCTAGCCTTGAAATCTAATACCCGGGTATTACCTTCAGGAAGCCTGAACACCCCAAATATTTTTTTTTCTTTTTTCATATTTTTTGGTCTAACTAACTCCAAAAGGTTGGAAAAGAGTTCCTACAAAGGTTTTGGACAGTGATTTTAACCCTAACGCCAAAAAACCTTAAACCTTACCCTAGCCCCAAAATCTAATACCCGGGTATTACCTTCAGGAAGCCGAAACACCCCAAATATTTTTTTGTTCATTTTTCTTTTTTTTTTGGTCTAACTAACTCCAAAAGGTTGGAAAAGAGTTCCTACAAAGGTTTTGGACAGTGATTTTAACCCTAACGCCAAAAAACTTAAACCTTACCCTAGCCTTAAAATCTAATACCCGGGTATTACCTTCAGGAAGCCCAAACACCCCAAATATTTTTTTTTCATTTTACTTTTTTGTTGTTGTAACCAACTCCAAAAGGTTGGAAAAGAGTTCCTACAAAGGTTTTGGACAGTGATTTTAACCCTAACGCCAAAAACCTTAAACCTTACCCTAGTCCCAAAACCTAATACCCGGGTATTACTTTCAGGGAGCCCGAAAACCCCCAATAATTTTTTTTTCTTTTTTCATTTTTGTTGGTGTAACCAACTCCAAAAGGTTGGAAAAGAGTTCCTACAAAGGTTTTGGACAGTGATTTTAACCCTAACGCCAAAAAACTTAAACCTTACCCTAGCCTTAAAATCTAATACCCGGGTATTACATTCAGGAAGCCCGAAAACCCCAAATATATATTTTTTCATTTTTCATTTTTTTTTGGTTTAACTAACTCCAAAAGGTTGGAAAAGAGTTCCTACAAAGGTTTTGGACAGTGATTTTAACCCTAACGCCAAAAAACTTAAACCTTACCCTAGCCTTAAAATCTAATACCCGGGTATTACATTCAGGAAGCCCGAAAACCCCAAATATATATTTTTTCATTTTTCATTTTTTTTTGGTTAACTAACTCCAAAAGGTTGGAAAGAGTTCCTACAAAGGTTTTGGACAGTGATTTTAACCCTAACGCCAAAAAACTTAAACCTTACCCTAGCCTTAAAATCTAATACCCGGGTATTACATTCAGGAAGCCCGAAAACCCCAAATATTTTTTTTCATTTTTCTTTTTTTTTGGTCTAACTAACTCCAAAAGGTTGGAAAAGAGTTCCTACAAAGGTTTTGGACAGTGATTTTAACCCTAACGCCAAAAACCTTAAACCTTACCCAGCCCCAAAACCTAATACCCGGGTATTACCTTCAGGAAGCCCGAACACCCCAAATATTTGTTTTTCATTTTCATTTTTGTTGGTGTAACCAACTCCAAAAGGTTGGAAAAGAGTTCCTACAAAGGTTTTGGACAGTGATTTTAACCCTAATGCCAAAAAACTTAAACCTTACCCTAGCCTCAAAATCTAATACCCGGGTATTACCTTCAGGAAGCCTGAACACCCAAAATATTTTATTCTTCATCTTACATTTTTGTTGGTGTAACCAACTCCAAAAGGTTGGAAAAGAGTTCCTACAAAGGTTTTGGACAGTGATTTTAACCCTAACGCCAAAAAACTTAAACCTTACCCTAGCCTCAAAATCTAATACCCGGGTATTACATTCAGGAAGCCTGAACACCCCAAATATTTTTTTTTCATTTTTCATTTTTTTTGGTCTAACTAACTCCAAAAGGTTGGAAAAGAGTTCCTACAAAGGTTTTGGACAGTGATTTTAACCCTAACGCCAAAAACCTTAAACCTTACCATGGCCCCATAACCTAATACCCGGGTATTACTTTTAGGAAGCCTGAACACCCCAAATATATTTTTTTTTCATTTTAAGTTTTTTTTTTTGGTGTAACTAACTCCAAAAGGTTGGAAAAGAGTTCCTACAAAGGTTTTGGACAGTGATTTTAACCCTAACGCCAAAAAACTTAAACCTTACCCTAGCCTTAAAATCTAATACCCGGGTATTACATTCAGGAAGCCAGAACACCCCAAATATTTTTTTCTTCATTTTACATTTTTGTTGGTGTAACCAACTCCAAAAGGTTGGAAAAGAGTTCCTACAAAGGTTTTGGACAGTGATTTTAACCCTAATGCCAAAAAACTTAAACCTTACCCTAGCCTCAAAATCTAATACCCGGGTATTACATTCAGGAACCCCGAAAACCCCAAATATTGTTTTTTAATTTTTCATTTTTTTTTGGTCTAACTAACTCCAAAAGGTTGGAAAAGAGTTCCTACAAAGGTTTTGGACAGTGATTTTAACCCTAACGCCAAAAACCTTAAACCTTACCCTAGCCCCATAACCTAATTCCCGGGTATTACCTTCAGGAAGCCCGAACACCCCAAATATTTGTTTTTCATTTTACATTTTTGTTGGTGTAACCAACTCCAAAAGGTTGGAAAAGAGTTCCTACAAAGGTTTTGGACAGTGATTTTAACCCTAACCCCTAAAAATTTAAACCTTACCCTGGCATTAAAATCTAATACCCGGGTATTACATTAAGGAAGCCTGAACACCCCAAATATTTTTTTTTTCATTTTTCTTTTTTTTTGGTCTAACTAACTCCAAAAGGTTGGAAAAGAGTTCCTACAAAGGTTTTGGACAGTGATTTTAACCCTAACGCCAAAAACCTTAAACCTTTCCCTAGTCCCAAAACCTAATACCCGGGTATTACTTTCAGGGAGCCCGAAAACCCCCAATAATATTTTTTTCTTTTTTCATATTTTTTGGTCTAACTAACTCCAAAAGGTTGGAAAAGAGTTCCTACAAAGGTTTTGGACAGTGATTTTAACCCTAACGCCAAAAACCTTAAACCTTACCCTAGCCTTAAAATCTACCTTCGGGCTACCTTCAGGAAGCCCGAACACCCCAAATATTTTTTTCTTCATTTTACATTTTTGTTGGTGTAACCAACTCCAAAAGGTTGGAAAAGAGTTCCTACAAAGGTTTTGGACAGTGATATTAACCTTAACGCCAAAAACCTTAAAACTTACCATAGCCCCATAACCTAATTCCCAGGTATTACCTTCAGGAAGCCCGAACACCCCAAATATTTTTTTTTCATTTTTCATTCTTTTTTGGTCTAATCAACTCCAAAAGGTTGGAAAAGAGTTCCTACAAAGGTTTATGACAGTGATTTTAACCCTAACGCCAAAAACCTTAAACCTTACCATAGCCCCATAACCTAATACCTGGATATTACTTTTAGGAAGCCTGAACACCCCAAATATTTTTTTTTCATTTTTCTTTTTTTTTTGTCAAACTAACTCCAAAAGGTTGGAAATGTTCCTACAAAGGTTTTGGACAGTGATTTTAACCCTAACGCCAAAAACCTTAAAACTTACCCTAGCCCCATAACCTAATACCCGGGTATTACATTCAGGAAGCCCGAAAACCCCAAATATATATTTTTTCATTTTTCTTTTTTTTTCGGTCAAACTAACTCCAAAAGGTTGGAAAAGAGTTCCTACAAAGGTTTTGGACAGTGATTTTAACCCTAACGCCAAAAACCTTAAACCTTTCCCCAGTCCCAAAACCTAATACCCGGGTATTACCTTCAGGAAGCCCGAACACCCCAAATATTTGTTTTTCATTTTACATTTTTGTTGGTGTAACCAACTCCAAAAGGTTGGAAAAGAGTTCCTACAAAGGTTTTGGACAGTGATTTTAACCCTAATGCCAAAAAACTTAAACCTTACCCTAGCCTTGAAATCTAATACCCGGGTATTACCTTCAGGAAGCCTGAACACCCCAAATATTTTTTTCTTTTTTCATATTTTTTGGTCTAACTAACTCCAAAAGGTTGGAAAAGAGTTCCTACAAAGGTTTTGGACAGTGATTTTAACCCTAACGCCAAAAACCTTAAACCTTACCCTAGCCTTGAAATCTAATACCCGGGTATTACCTTCAGGAAGCCTGAACACCCAAAATATTTTTTTCTTCATCTTACATTTTTGTTGGTGTAACCAACTCCAAAAGGTTGGAAAAGAGTTCCTACAAAGGTTTTGGACAGTGATTTTAACCCTAATGCCAAAAAACTTAAACCTTACCCTAGCCTCAAAATCTAATACCCGGGTATTACATTCAGGAACCCCGAAAACCCCAAATATTTTTTTTTAATTTTTCATTTTTTTTGGTCTAACTAACTCCAAAAGGTTGGAAAAGAGTTCCTACAAAGGTTTTGGACAGTGATTTTAACCCTAACGCCAAAAAACTTAAACCTTACCATAGCTCCATAACCTAATACCCTGGGTATTACTTTTAGGAAGCCTGAACACCCCAAATATTTTTTTTTTTTCATTTTTTTGGTCTAACTAACTCCAAAAGGTTGGAAAAGTGTTCCTACAAAGGTTTTGGACAGTGATTTTAACCCTAACGCCAAAAAACTTAAACCTTACCATAGCCCCATAACCTAATACCTGGGTATTACTTTTAGGAAGCCTGAACACCCCAAATATTTTTTTTTCATTTTTCTTTTTTTTTTGGTCTAACCAACTCCAAAAGGTTGGAAAAGTGTTCCTACAAAGGTTTTGGACAGTGATTTTAACCCTAACGCCAAAAACCTTAAACCTTACACTAGCCTTAAAATCTAATACCTGGGTATTACTTTCAGGAAGCCCGAACACCCCAAATATTTTTTTTTTCATTTTACATTTTTTTTGGTGTAACCAACTCCAAAAGGTTGGAAAAGAGTTCCTACAAAGGTTTTGGACAGTGATTTTAACCCTAATGTCAAAAACCTTAAACCTTACCCTAGCCTTAAAATCTAATACCCGGGTATTACATTCAGGAACCCCGAAAACCCCAAATATTGTTTTTTCTTTTTTCATTTTTTTTTGGTCTAACTAACTCCAAAAGGTTGGAAAAGAGTTCCTACAAAGGTTTTGGACAGTGATTTTAACCCTAACGCCAAAAACCTTAAACCTTACCCTAGCCTTAAAATCTACCTTCGGGCTACCTTCAGGAAGCCCGAACACCCCAAATATTTTTTTCTTCATTTTACATTTTTGTTGGTGTAACCAACTCCAAAAGGTTGGAAAAGAGTTCCTACAAAGGTTTTGGACAGTGATTTTAACCCTAACGCCAAAAACCTTAAACCTTACCCTAGCCTTGAAATCTAATACCCGGGTATTACCTTCAGGAAGCCTGAACACCCCAAATATTTTTTTCTTTTTTCATATTTTTTGGTCTAACTAACTCCAAAAGGTTGGAAAAGAGTTCCTACAAAGGTTTTGGACAGTGATTTTAACCCTTACGCCAAAAACCTTAAACCTTTCCCCAGTCCCAAAACCTAATACCCGGGTATTACCTTCAGGAAGCCCGAACACCCCAAATATTTGTTTTTCATTTTACATTTTTGTTGGTGTAACCAACTCCAAAAGGTTGGAAAAGAGTTCCTACAAAGGTTTTGGACAGTGATTTTAACCCTAACGCCAAAAACCTTAAACCTTTCCCCAGTCCCAAAACCTAATACCCGGGTATTACCTTCAGGAAGCCCGAACACCCCAAATATTTGTTTTTCATTTTACATTTTTTTTGGTGTAACCAACTCCAAAAGGTTGGAAAAGAGTTCCTACAAAGGTTTTGGACAGTGATTTTAACCCTAATGCCAAAAACCTTAAACCTTACCCTAGCCTTAAAATCTAATACCCGGGTATTACATTCAGGAACCCCGAAAACCCCAAATATTGTTTTTTCTTTTTTCATTTTTTTTTGGTCTAACTAACTCCAAAAGGTTGGAAAAGTGTTCCTACAAAGGTTTTGGACAGTGATTTTAACCCTAACGCCAAAAACCTTAAACCTTACCCTAGCCTTAAAATCTACCTTCGGGCTACCTTCAGGAAGCCCGAACACCCCAAATATTTTTTTCTTCATTTTACATTTTTGTTGGTGTAACCAACTCCAAAAGGTTGGAAAAGAGTTCCTACAAAGGTTTTGGACAGTGATTTTAACCCTAACGCCAAAAACCTTAAACCTTACCCTAGCCTTGAAATCTAATACCCGGGTATTACCTTCAGGAAGCCTGAACACCCCAAATATTTTTTCTTTTTTCATATTTTTTGGTCTAACTAACTCCAAAAGGTTGGAAAAGAGTTCCTACAAAGGTTTTGGACAGTGATTTTAACCCTAACGCCAAAAACCTTAAACCTTTCCCCAGTCCCAAAACCTAATACCCGGGTATTACCTTCAGGAAGCCCGAACACCCCAAATATTTGTTTTTCATTTTACATTTTTGTTGTTGTAACCAACTCCAAAAGGTTGGAAAAGAGTTCCTACAAAGGTTTTGGACAGTGATTTTAACCCTAACGCCAAAAACCTTAAACCTTTCCCCAGTCCCAAAACCTAATACCCGGGTATTACCTTCAGGAAGCCCGAACACCCCAAATATTTGTTTTTCATTTTACATTTTTGTTGGTGTAACCAACTCCAAAAGGTTGGAAAAGAGTTCCTACAAAGGTTTTGGACAGTGATTTTAACCCTAATGCCAAAAAACTTAAACCTTACCCTAGCCTTGAAATCTAATACCCGGGTATTACCTTCAGGAAGCCTGAACACCCAAAATATTTTTTTCTTCATCTTACATTTTTGTTGGTGTAACCAACTCCAAAAGGTTGGAAAAGAGTTCCTACAAAGGTTTTGGACAGTGATTTTAACCCTAATGCCAAAAAACTTAAACCTTACCCTAGCCTCAAAATCTAATACCCGGGTATTACATTCAGGAACCCCGAAAACCCCAAATATTGTTTTTTAATTTTTCATTTTTTTTTGGTCTAACTAACTCCAAAAGGTTGGAAAAGAGTTCCTACAAAGGTTTTGGACAGTGATTTTAACCCTAACGCCAAAAAACTTAAACCTTACCATAGCCCCATAACCTAATACCTGGGTATTACTTTTAGGAAGCCTGAACACCCCAAATATTTTTTTTTCATTTTTCTTTTTTTTTTGGTCTAACCAACTCCAAAAGGTTGGAAAAGTGTTCCTACAAAGGTTTTGGACAGTGATTTTAACCCTAACGCCAAAAAACTTAAACCTTACCCTGGCCTTAAAATCTAATACCTGGGTATTACTTTCAGGAAGCCCGAACACCCCAAATATTTTTTTTTTTCATTTTACATTTTTTTTGGTGTAACCAACTCCAAAAGGTTGGAAAAGAGTTCCTACAAAGGTTTTGGACAGTGATTTTAACCCTAATGCCAAAAAACTTAAACCTTACCCTAGCCTTAAAATCTAATACCCGGGTATTACATTCAGGAACCCCGAAAACCCCAAATATTGTTTTTTCATTTTTCATTTTTTTTTTGGTCTAACTAACTCCAAAAGGTTGGAAAAGAGTTCCTACAAAGGTTTTGGACAGTGATTTTAACCCTAACGCCAAAAACCTTAAACCTTACCATAGCCCCATAACCTAATACCCAGGTATTACTTTTAGGAAGCCTGAACACCCCAAATATTTTTTTTTCATTTTTCTTTTTTTTTGGTCTAACTAACTCCAAAAGGTTGGTAAAGAGTTCCTACAAAGGTTTTGGACAGTGATTTTAACCCTAACGCCAAAAAACTTAACCCTTACCCGAGCCTTAAAATCTAATACATTACCTTCAGGAAGCCCGAACACCCCAAATATTTTTTTTTTCATTTTACATTTTTTTTGGTGGAACCAACTCCAAAAGGTTGGAAAAGAGTTCCTACAAAGGTTTTGGACAGTGATTTTAACCCTAACGCCAAAAACCTTAAACCTTACCCTAGCCTTGAAATCTAATACCCGGGTATTACCTTCAGGAAGCCTGAACACCCCAAATTTTTTTTTCTTTTTTCATATTTTTTGGTCTAACTAACTCCAAAAGGTTGGAAAAGAGTTCCTACAAAGGTTTTGGGACAGTGATTGTAACCCTAACGCCAAAAAACTTAAACCTTACCCTAGCCTTAAAATCTAATACCCGGGTATTACCTTCAGGAAGCCCAAACACCCCAAATATTTTTTTTTCATTTTACTTTTTTGTTGTTGTAACCAACTCCAAATGGTTGGAAAAGAGTTCCTACAAAGGTTTTGGACAGTGATTGTAACCCTAACGCCAAAAAACTTAAACCTTACCCTAGCCTTAAAATCTAATACCCGGGTATTACCTTCAGGAAGCCCAAACACCCCAAATATTTTTTTTTCATTTTACTTTTTTGTTGTTGTAACCAACTCCAAAAGGTTGGAAAAGAGTTCCTACAAAGGTTTTGGACAGTGATTTTAACCCTAACGCCAAAAACCTTAAACCTTTCCCTAGTCCCAAAACCTAATACCCGGGTATTACTTTCAGGGAGCCCGAAAACCCCCAATAATTTTTTTTTCTTTTTTCATTTTTGTTGGTGTAACCAACTCCAAAAGGTTGGAAAAGAGTTCCTACAAAGGTTTTGGACAGTGATTTTAACCCTAACGCCAAAAAACTTAAACCTTACCCTAGCCTTAAAATCTAATACCCGGGTATTACATTCAGGAAGCCCGAAAACCCCAAATATATATTTTTTCATTTTTCATTTTTTTTTTGGTTTAACTAACTCCAAAAGGTTGGAAAAGAGTTCCTACAAAGGTTTTGGACAGTGATTTTAACCCTAACGCCAAAAAACTTAAACCTTACCCTAGCCTTAAAATCTAATACCCGGGTATTACATTCAGGAAGCCCGAAAACCCCAAATATATATTTTTTCATTTTTCATTTTTTTTTGGTTTATCTAATTCCAAAAGGTTGGAAGAGTGTTCCTACAAAGGTTTTGGACAGGGATTTTAACCCTAACGCCAAAAAACTTAAACCTTACTCTAGCCTTAAAATCTAATACCCGGGTATTACATTCATGAAGCCCGAAAACCCCAAATATATATTTTTTCATTTTTCTTTTTTTTTTGGTCAAACTAACTCCAAAAGGTTGGAAAAGAGTTCCTACAAAGGTTTTGGACAGTGATTTTAACCCTAACGCCAAAAACCTTAAACCTTTCCCCAGTCCCAAAACCTAATACCCGGGTATTACCTTCAGGAAGCCGGAACACCCCAAATATTTGTTTTTCATTTTACATTTTTGTTGGTGTAACCAACTCCAAAAGGTTGGAAAAGAGTTCCTACAAAGGTTTTGGACAGTGATTTTAACCCTAATGCCAAAAAACTTAAACCTTACCCTAGCCTCAAAATCTAATACCCGAGTATTACCTTCAGGAAGCCTGAACACCCAAAATATTTTTTTCTTCATCTTACATTTTTGTTGGTGTAACCAACTCCAAAAGGTTGGAAAAGAGTTCCTACAAAGGTTTTGGACAGTGATTTTAACCCTAATGCCAAAAAACTTAAACCTTACCCTAGCCTCAAAATCTAATACCCGGGTATTACATTAAGGAAGCCTGAACACCCCAAATATTTTTTTTTCATTTTTCATTTTTTTTGGTCTAACTAAGTCCAAAAGGTTGGAAAAGAGTTCCTACAAAGGTTTTGGACAGTGATTTTAACCCTAACGCCAAAAACCTTAAACCTTACCATGGCCCCATAACCTAATACCCGGGTATTACTTTTAGGAAGCCTGAACACCCCAAATATATATTTTTTTCATTTTAAGTTTTTGTTGGTGTAACCAACTCCAAAAGGTTGGAAAAGAGTTCCTACAAAGGTTTTGGACAGTGATTGTAACCCTAACGCCAAAAAACTTAAACCTTACCCTAGCCTTAAAATCTAATACCCGGGTATTACCTTCAGGAAGCCCAAACACCCCAAATATTTTTTTCATTTTACTTTTTTGTTGTTGTAACCAACTCCAAAAGGTTGGAAAAGAGTTCCTACAAAGGTTTTGGACAGTGATTTTAACCCTAACGCCAAAAACCTTAAACCTTTCCCTAGTCCCAAAACCTAATACCCGGGTATTACTTTCAGGGAGCCCGAAAACCCCCAATAATTTTTTTTTCTTTTTTCATTTTTTTTGGTGTAACCAACTCCAAAAGGTTGGAAAAGAGTTCCTACAAAGGTTTTGGACAGTGATTTTAACCCTAACGCCAAAAAACTTAAACCTTACCCTAGCCTTAAAATCTAATACCGGGGTATTACCTTCAGGAAGCCCGAACACCCCAAATATTTTTTTGTTCATTTTACATTTTTGTTGGTGTAACCAACTCCAAAAGGTTGGAAAAGAGTTCCTACAAAGGTTTTGGACAGTGATTTTAACCCTAACGCCAAAAAACTTAAACCTTACCCTAGCCTTAAAATCTAATACCCGGGTATTACATTCAGGAAGCCCGAAAACCCCAAATATATATTTTTTCATTTTTCATTTTTTTTTTGGTTTATCTAATTCCAAAAGGTTGGAAAAGTGTTCCTACAAAGGTTTTGGACAGGGATTTTAACCCTAACGCCAAAAAACTTAAACCTTACCCTAGCCTTAAAATCTAATACCCGGGTATTACATTCAGGAAGCCCGAAAACCCCAAATATATATTTTTTCATTTTTCTTTTTTTTTCGGTCAAACTAACTCCAAAAGGTTGGAAAAGAGTTCCTACAAAGGTTTTGGACAGTGATTTTAACCCTAACGCCAAAAACCTTAAACCTTTCCCCAGTCCCAAAACCTAATACCCGGGTATTACCTTCAGGAAGCCGGAACACCCCAAATATTTGTTTTTCATTTTACATTTTTGTTGGTGTAACCAACTCCAAAAGGTTGGAAAAGAGTTCCTACAAAGGTTTTGGACAGTGATTTTAACCCTAATGCCAAAAAACTTAAACCTTACCCTAGCCTCAAAATCTAATACCCGGGTATTACATTCAGGAACCCCGAAATCCCCAAATATTGTTTTTTAATTTTTCATTTTTTTTTGTCTAACTAACTCCAAAAGGTTGGAAAAGAGTTCCTACAAAGGTTTTGGACAGTGATTTTAACCCTAACGCCAAAAAACTTAAACCTTACCATAGCCCCATAACCTAATACCTGGGTATTACTTTTAGGAAGCCTGAACACCCCAAATATTTTTTTTTCATTTTTCTTTTTTTTTTGGTCTAACCAACTCCAAAAGGTTGGAAAAGTGTTCCTACAAAGGTTTTGGACAGTGATTTTAACCCTAACGCCAAAAAACTTAAACCTTACCCTGGCCTTAAAATCTAATACCTGGGTATTACTTTCAGGAAGCCCGAACACCCCAAATATTTTTTTTTTTCATTTTACATTTTTTTTGGTGTAACCAACTCCAAAAGGTTGGAAAAGAGTTCCTACAAAGGTTTTGGACAGTGATTTTAACCCTAATGCCAAAAAACTTAAACCTTACCCTAGCCTTAAAATCTAATACCTGGGTATTACATTCAGGAACCCCGAAAACCCCAAATATTGTTTTTTCATTTTTCATTTTTTTTTGGTCTAACTAACTCCAAAAGGTTGGAAAAGAGTTCCTACAAAGGTTTTGGACAGTGATTTTAACCCTAACGCCAAAAACCTTAAACCTTACCATAGCCCCATAACCTAATACCCAGGTATTACTTTTAGGAAGCCTGAACACCCCAAATATTTTTTTTTTCATTTTACATTTTTTTTTGGTGTAACCAACTCCAAAAGGTTGGAAAAGAGTTCCTACAAAGGTTTTGGACAGTGATTTTAACCCTAACGCCAAAAACCTTAAACCTTACCCTAGCCTTGAAATCTAATACCCGGGTATTACCTTCAGGAAGCCTGAACACCCCAAATATTTTTTTCTTTTTTCATATTTTTTGGTCTAACTAACTCCAAAAGGTTGGAAAAGAGTTCCTACAAAGGTTTTGGACAGTGATTTTAACCCTAACGCCAAAAACCTTAAACCTTTCCCCAGTCCCAAAACCTAATACCCGGGTATTACCTTCAGGAAGCCCGAACACCCCAAATATTTGTTTTTCATTTTACATTTTTGTTGTTGTAACCAACTCCAAAAGGTTGGAAAAGAGTTCCTACAAAGGTTTTGGACAGTGATTTTAACCCTAACGCCAAAAACCTTAAACCTTACCCTAGTCCCAAAACCTAATACCCGGGTATTACCTTCAGGAAGCCCGAACACCCCAAATATATTTTTTTTCATTTTACATTTTTGTTGGTGTAACCAACTCCAAAAGGTTGGAAAAGAGTTCCTACAAAGGTTTTGGACAGTGATTTTAACCCTAACGCCAAAAAACCTTAAACCTTACCCTAGCCTTGAAATCTAATACCCGGGTATTACCTTCAGGAAGCCTGAACACCCAAAATATTTTTTTCTTCATCTTACATTTTTGTTGGTCTAACTAACTCCAAAAGGTTGGAAAAGAGTTCCTACAAAGGTTTTGGACAGTGATTTTAACCCTAATGCCAAAAAACTTAAACCTTACCCTAGCCTCAAAATCTAATACCCGGGTATTACATTCAGGAACCCCGAAAACCCCAAATATTGTTTTTTAATTTTTCATTTTTTTTTGGTCTAACTAACTCCAAAAGGTTGGAAAAGAGTTCCTACAAAGGTTTTGGACAGTGATTTTAACCCTAACGCCAAAAAACTTAAACCTTACCATAGCCCCATAACCTAATACCTGGGTATTACTTTTAGGAAGCCTGAACACCCCAAATATTTTTTTTTCATTTTTCTTTTTTTTTTGGTCTAACCAACTCCAAAAGGTTGGAAAAGTGTTCCTACAAAGGTTTTGGACAGTGATTTTAACCCTAACGCCAAAAAACTTAAACCTTACCCTGGCCTTAAAATAATACCTGGGTATTACTTTCAGGAAGCCCGAACACCCCAAATATTTTTTTTTCATTTTACATTTTTTTTGGTGTAACCAACTCCAAAAGGTTGGAAAAGAGTTCCTACAAAGGTTTTGGACAGTGATTTTAACCCTAATGCCAAAAAACTTAAACCTTACCCTAGCCTTAAAATCTAATACCCGGGTATTACATTCAGGAACCCCGAAAACCCCAAATATTGTTTTTTCATTTTTCATTTTTTTTTGGTCTAACTAACTCCAAAAGGTTGGAAAAGAGTTCCTACAAAGGTTTTGGACAGTGATTTTAACCCTAACGCCAAAAACCTTAAACCTTACCATAGCCCCATAACCTAATACCCAGGTATTACTTTTAGGAAGCCTGAACACCCCAAATATTTTTTTTTCATTTTTCTTTTTTTTTTTGGTCTAACTAACTCCAAAAGGTTGGAAAAGAGTTCCTACAAAGGTTTTGGACAGTGATTTTAACCCTAACGCCAAAAACTTAAACCTTACCATAGCCCCAAAACCTAATACCCGGGTATTACTTTCAGGAAGCCCGAACACCCCAAATATTTTTTTTTCATTTTACATTTTTTTTGGTGTAACCAACTCCAAAAGGTTGGAAAAGAGTTCCTACAAAGGTTTTGGACAGTGATTTTAACCCTAACGCCAAAAACCTTAAACCTTACCCTAGCCTTGAAATCTAATACCCGGGTATTACCTTCAGGAAGCCTGAACACCCCAAATATTTTTTTCTTTTTTCATATTTTTTGGTCTAACTAACTCCAAAAGGTTGGAAAAGAGTTCCTACAAAGGTTTTGGACAGTGATTTTAACCCTAACGCCAAAAAACTTAAACCTTACCCTAGCCTTAAAATCTAATACCCGGGTATTACCTTCAGGAAGCCCAAACACCCCAAATATTTTTTTTTCATTTTACTTTTTTGTTGTTGTAACCAACTCCAAAAGGTTGGAAAAGAGTTCCTACAAAGGTTTTGGACAGTGATTTTAACCCTAACGCCAAAAAACTTAAACCTTACCCTAGCCCCAAAATCTAATACCCGGGTATTACCTTCAGGAAGCCTGAACACCCCAAATATTTTTTTTTCATTTTACTTTTTTTTGGTCTAACCAACTCCAAAAGGTTGGAAAAGAGTTCCTACAAAGGTTTTGGACAGTGATTTTAACCCTAACGCCAAAAACCTTAAACCTTACCCAGTCCCAAAACCTAATACCCGGGTATTACTTTCAGGGAGCCCGAAAACCCCCAATAATTTTTTTTTCTTTTTTCATTTTTGTTGGTGTAACCAACTCCAAAAGGTTGGAAAAGAGTTCCTACAAAGGTTTTGGACAGTGATTTTAACCCTAACGCCAAAAAACTTAAACCTTACCCTAGCCTTAAAATCTAATACCCGGGTATTACATTCAGGAAGCCCGAAAACCCCAAATATATATTTTTTCATTTTTCATTTTTTTTTTGGTTTAACTAACTCCAAAAGGTTGGAAAAGAGTTCCTACAAAGGTTTTGGACAGTGATTTTAACCCTAACGCCAAAAAACCTTAAACCTTACCCTAGCCCCAAAATCTAATACCCGGGTATTACATTCAGGAAGCCCGAACACCCCAAATATTTTTTTTCATTTTTCATTTTTTTTTGGTCTAACTAACTCCAAAAGGTTGGAAAAGAGTTCCTACAAAGGTTTTGGACAGTGATTTTAACCCTAACGCCAAAAAACTTAAACCTTACTCTAGCCTTAAAATCTAATACCCGGGTATTACATTCATGAAGCCCGAAAACCCCAAATATATATTTTTTCATTTTTCTTTTTTTTTTGGTCAAACTAACTCCAAAAGGTTGGAAAAGAGTTCCTACAAAGGTTTTGGACAGTGATTTTAACCCTAACGCCAAAAACCTTAAACCTTACCCCAGACCCAAAACCTAATACCCGGGTATTACCTTCAGGAAGCCGGAACACCCCAAATATTTGTTTTTCATTTTACATTTTTGTTGGTGTAACTAACTCCAAAAGGTTGGAAAAGAGTTCCTACAAAGGTTTTGGACAGTGATTTTAACCCTAATGCCAAAAAACTTAAACCTTACCCTAGCCTCAAAATCTAATACCCGGGTATTACCTTCAGGAAGCCTGAACACCCAAAATATTTTTTCTTCATCTTACATTTTTGTTGGTGTAACCAACTCCAAAAGGTTGGAAAAGAGTTCCTACAAAGGTTTTGGACAGTGATTTTAACCCTAATGCCAAAAAACTTAAACCTTACCCTAGCCTCAAAATCTAATACCCGGGTATTACATTAAGGAAGCCTGAACACCCCAAATATTTTTTTTTCATTTTTCATTTTTTTTGGTCTAACTAACTCCAAAAGGTTGGAAAAGAGTTCCTACAAAGGTTTTGGACAGTGATTTTAACCCTAACGCCAAAAACCTTAAACCTTACCATGGCCCCATAACCTAATACCCGGGTATTACTTTTAGGAAGCCTGAACACCCCAAATATATATTTTTTTCATTTTAAATTTTTGTTGGTGTAACCAACTCCAAAAGGTTGGAAAAGAGTTCCTACAAAGGTTTTGGACAGTGATTGTAACCCTAACGCCAAAAAACTTAAACCTTACCCTAGCCTTAAAATCTAATACCCGGGTATTACCTTCAGGAAGCCCAAACACCCCAAATATTTTTTTTTCATTTTACTTTTTTGTTGTTGTAACCAACTCCAAAAGGTTGGAAAAGAGTTCCTACAAAGGTTTTGGACAGTGATTTTAACCCTAACGCCAAAAACCTTAAACCTTTCCCTAGTCCCAAAACCTAATACCCGGGAATTACTTTCATGGAGCCCGAAAACCCCCAATAATTTTTTTTTCTTTTTTCATTTTTTTTGGTGTAACCAACTCCAAAAGGTTGGAAAAGAGTTCCTACAAAGGTTTTGGACAGTGATTTTAACCCTAACGCCAAAAAACTTAAACCTTACCCTAGCCTTAAAATCTAATACCGGGGTATTACCTTCAGGAAGCCCGAACACCCCAAATATTTTTTTGTTCATTTTACATTTTTTTTGGTGTAACCAACTCCAAAAGGTTGGAAAAGAGTTCCTACAAAGGTTTTGGACAGTGATTTTAACCCTAACGCCAAAAAACTTAAACCTTACCCTAGCCTTAAAATCTAATACCCGGGTATTACATTCAGGAAGCCCGAAAACCCCAAATATATTTTTTCATTTTTCATTTTTTTTTGGTTTATCTAATTCCAAAAGGTTGGAAAAGTGTTCCTACAAAGGTTTTGGACAGTGATTTTAACCCTAACGCCAAAAAACTTAAACCTTACCCTAGCCTTAAAATCTAATACCCGGGTATTACATTCAGGAAGCCCGAAAACCCCAAATATATATTTTTTCATTTTTCTTTTTTTTTCGGTCTAACTAACTCCAAAAGGTTGGAAAAGAGTTCCTACAAAGGTTTTGGACAGTGATTTTAACCCTAACGCCAAAAACCTTAAACCTTACCCTAGCCCAAAACCTAATACCCGGGTATTACCTTCAGGAAGCCTGAACACCCCAAATATTTTTTTTTCATTTTACATTTTTGTTGGTGTAACCAACTCCAAAAGGTTGGAAAAGAGTTCCTACAAAGGTTTTGGACAGTGATTTTAACCCTAACGCCAAAAAACTTAAACCTTACCCTAGCCTCAAAATCTAATACCCGGGTATTACATTCAGGAAGCCCGAAACCCCAAATATTTTTTTTCATTTTTCATTTTTTTTTGGTCTAACTAACTCCAAAAGGTTGGAAAAGAGTTCCTACAAAGGTTTTGGACAGTGATTTTAACCCTAACGCCAAAAAAACTTAAACCTTACCATAGCCCCATAACCTAATACCTGGGTATTACTTTTAGGAAGCCTGAACACCCCAAATATTTTTTTTTCATTTTTCTTTTTTTTTTGGTCTAACCAACTCCAAAAGGTTGGAAAAGTGTTCCTACAAAGGTTTTGGACAGTGATTTTAACCCTAACGCCAAAAAACTTAAACCTTACCCTGGCCTTAAAATCTAATACCCGGGTATTACTTTCAGGAAGCCCGAACACCCCAAATATTTTTTTTTTCATTTTACATTTTTTTTGGTGTAACTAACTCCAAAAGGTTGGAAAAGAGTTCCTACAAAGGTTTTGGACAGTGATTTTAACCCTAATGCCAAAAAACTTAAACCTTACCCTAGCCTTAAAATCTAATCCCTGGGTATTACTTTCAGGGACCCTGAAAACCCCAAATATTGTTTTTTCATTTTTCATTTTTTTTTGGTCTAACTAACTCCAAAAGGTTGAAAAAGAGTTCCTACAAAGGTTTTGGACAGTGATTTTAACCCTAACGCCAAAAACCTTAAACCTTACCATAGCCCCATAACCTAATACCCGGGTATTACTTTTAGGAAGCCTGAACACCCCAAATATTTGTTTTTCATTTTACATTTTTTTTTGGTGTAACCAACTCCAAAAGGTTGGAAAAGAGTTCCTACAAAGGTTTTGGACAGTGATTTTAACCCTAACGCCAAAAACCTTAAACCTTACCCTAGCCTTGAAATCTAATACCCGGGTATTACCTTCAGGAAGCCTGAACACCCCAAATATTTTTTTCTTTTTTCATATTTTTTGGTCTAACTAACTCCAAAAGGTTGGAAAAGAGTTCCTACAAAGGTTTTGGACAGTGATTTTAACCCTAACGCCAAAAACCTTAAACCTTACCCTAGCCTTGAAATCTAATACCCGGGTATTACCTTCAGGAAGCCTGAACACCCAAAATATTTTTTTCTTCATCTTACATTTTTTTTTTGGTCTAACCAACTCCAAAAGGTTGGAAAAGAGTTCCTACAAAGGTTTTGGACAGTGATTTTAACCCTAACGCCAAAAACCTTAAACCTTACCCTAGCCTCAAAATCTAATACCCGGGTATTACATTCAGGAACCCCGAAAACCCCAAATATTGTTTTTTAATTTTTCATTTTTTTTTGGTCTAACTAACTCCAAAAGGTTGGAAAAGAGTTCCTACAAAGGTTTTGGACAGTGATTTTAACCCTAACGCCAAAAACCTTAAACCTTACCCTAGCCCCATAACCTAATACCCGGGTATTACCTTCAGGAAGCCCGAACACCCCAAATATTTTTTTTTCATTTTCATTTTTTTTGGTCTAACTAACTCCAAAAGGTTGGAAAAGAGTTCCTACAAAGGTTTTGGACAGTGATTTTAACCCTAACGCCAAAAACCTTAAACCTTACCCTAGCCTTGAAATCTAATACCCGGGTATTACCTTCAGGAAGCCTGAACACCCAAAATATTTTTTTCTTCATCTTACATTTTTTTTTGGTGTAACCAACTCCAAAAGGTTGGAAAAGAGTTCCTACAAAGGTTTTGGACAGTGATTTTAACCCTAACGCCAAAAACCTTAAACCTTACCATAGCCCCATAACCTAATACCCGGGTATTACCTTCAGGAAGCCCGAACACCCCAAATATTTTTTTTTCATTTTTCATTCTTTTTTGGTCTAACTAACTCCAAAAGGTTGGAAAAGAGTTCCTACAAAGGTTTTGGACAGTGATTTTAACCCTAACGCCAAAAACCTTAAACCTTACCATAGCCCCATAACCTAATACCCTGGTATTACTTTTAGGAAGCCTGAACACCCCAAATATTTTTTTTTCATTTTTCTTTTTTTTTTGGTCTAACTAACTCCAAAAGGTTGGAAAAGAGTTCCTACAAAGGTTTTGGACAGTGATTTTAACCCTAACGCCAAAAACCTTAAACCTTACCATAGCCCCATAACCTAATACCTGGGTATTACTTTTAGGAAGCCCGAACACCCCAAATATTTGTTTTTCATTTTACATTTTTGTTGGTGTAACCAACTCCAAAAGGTTGGAAAAGAGTTCCTACAAAGGTTTTGGACAGTGATTTTAACCCTAACGCCAAAAAACTTAAACCTTACCCTGGCATTAAAATCTAATACCCGGGTATTACATTAAGGAAGCCTGAACACCCCAAATATTTTTTTTTCATTTTTCATTTTTTTTGGTCTAACTAACTCCAAAAGGTTGGAAAAGAGTTCCTACAAAGGTTTTGGACAGTGATTTTAACCCTAACGCCAAAAACCTTAAACCTTACCATGGCCCCATAACCTAATACCCGGGTATTACTTTTAGGAAGCCTGAACACCCCAAATATATATTTTTTTCATTTTACATTTTTTTTGGTGTAACCAACTCCAAAAGGTTGGAAAAGAGTTCCTACAAAGGTTTTGGACAGTGATTTTAACCCTAACGCCAAAAAACTTAAACCTTACCATAGCCTTAAAATCTAATACCCGGGTATTACTTCAGGAAGCCCGAACACCCCAAATATTTTTTTTTCATTTTACTTTTTTGTTGTTGTAACCAACTCCAAAAGGTTGGAAAAAAGTTCCTACAAAGGTTTTGGACAGTGATTTTAAACCTAACGCCAAAAACCTTAAACCTTACCCTAGCCCATAACCTAATACCCGGGTATTACATTCAGGAAGCCCGAAACCCCAAATATTTTTTTTTTCATTTTTCATTCTTTTTGTTGGTGTAACTAACTCCAAAAGGTTGGAAAAGAGTTCCTACAAAGGTTTTGGACAGTGATTTTAAACCTAATGCCATAAACTTTAAACCTTACCATAGCCCCATAACCTAATACCCGGGTATTACTTTTAGGAAGCCTGAACACCCCAAATATTTTTTTTTCATTTTTCTTTTTTTTTTTGGTCTAACTAACTCCAAAAGGTTGGAAAAGAGTTCCTACAAAGGTTTTGGACAGTGATATTAACCCTAACGCCAAAAACCTTAAACCTTTCCCTAGTCCCAAAACCTAAAACCCGGGTATTACTTTCAGGGAGCCCGAAAACCCCCAATAATTTTTTTTTCTTTTTTCATTTTTTTTGGTGTAACCAACTCCAAAAGGTTGGAAAAGAGTTCCTACAAAGGTTTTGGACAGTGATTTTAACCCTAACGCCAAAAAACTTAAACCTTACCCTAGCCTTAAAATCTAATACCGGGGTATTACCTTCAGGAAGCCCGAACACCCCAAATATTTTTTTGTTCATTTTACATTTTTTTTTGGTCTAACCAACTCCAAAAGGTTGGAAAAGAGTTCCTACAAAGGTTTTGGACAGTGATTTTAACCCTAACGCCAAAAAACTTAAACCTTACCCTAGCCTTAAAATCTAATACCCTGGTATTACATTCAGGAAGCCCGAAAACCCCAAATATATATTTTTTCATTTTTCATTTTTTTTTGGTTTATCTAATTCCAAAAGGTTGGAAAAGTGTTCCTACAAAGGTTTTGGACAGGGATTTTAACCCTAACGCCAAAAAACTTAAACCTTACCCTAGCCTTAAAATCTAATACCCAGGTTACATTCAGGAAGCCCGAAAACCCCAAATATTTTTTTTTCATTTTTCTTTTTTTTTGGTCAAACTAACTCCAAAAGGTTGGAAAAGAGTTCCTACAAAGGTTTTGGACAGTGATTTTAACCCTAACGCCAAAAAACTTAAACCTTACCCTAGCCTTGAAATCTAATACCCGGGTATTACCTTCAGGAAGCCCGAACACCCCAAATATTTTTTTTTTTCATTTTACATTTTTTTTGGTGTAACCAACTCCAAAAGGTTGGAAAAGAGTTCCTACAAAGGTTTTGGACAGTGATTTTAACCCTAACGCCAAAAACCTTAAACCTTACCATAGCCCCATAACCTAATACCCGGGTATTACTTTTAGGAAGCCTGAACACCCCAAATATTTTTTTCTTCATTTTACATTTTTGTTGGTGTAACCAACTCCAAAAGGTTGGAAAAGAGTTCCTACAAAGGTTTTGGACAGTGATTTTAACCCTAATGCCAAAAAACTTAAACCTTACCCTAGCCTCAAAATCTAATACCCGGGTATTACATTCAGGAACCCCGAAAACCCCAAATATTGTTTTTTAATTTTTCATTTTTTTTGGTCTAACTAACTCCAAAAGGTTGGAAAAGAGTTCCTACAAAGGTTTTGGACAGTGATTTTAACCCTAACGCCAAAAACCTTAAACCTTACCCTGGCCTTAAAATCTAATACCTGGGTATTACTTTTAGGAAGCCTGAACACCCCAAATATTTTTTTTTCATTTTACTTTTTTTTTGGTCTAACCAACTCCAAAAGGTTGGAAAAGAGTTCCTACAAAGGTTTTGGACAGTGATTTTAACCCTAACGCCAAAAAACTTAAACCTTACCCTAGCCTTAAAATCTAATACCCGGGTATTACATTCAGGAAGCCCGAAAACCCCAAATATATATTTTTTCATTTTTCTTTTTTTTTTCGGTCAAACTAACTCCAAAAGGTTGGAAAAGAGTTCCTACAAAGGTTTTGGACAGTGATTTTAACCCTAACGCCAAAAACCTTAAACCTTTCCCTAGTCCCAAAACCTAATACCCAGGTATTACTTTCAGGGAGCACGAAAACCCCCAATAATTTTTTTTCTTTTTTCATTTTTGTTGGTGTAACTAACTCCAAAAGGTTGGAAAAGAGTTCCTACAAAGGTTTTGGACAGTGATTTTAACCCTAACGCCAAAAAACTTAAACCTTACCCTAGCCTTGAAATCTAATACCCGGGTATTACCTTCAGGAAGCCCGAACACCCCAAATATTTTTTTTTTTCATTTTACATTTTTTTTGGTCTAACTAACTCCAAAAGGTTGGAAAAGAGTTCCTACAAAGGTTTTGGACAGTGATTTTAACCCTAACGCCAAAAACTTAAACCTTACCATAGCCCATAACCTAATACCCGGGTATTACTTTTAGGAAGCCTGAACACCCCAAATATTTTTTTTTCATTTTTACATTTTTGTTGGTGTAACCAACTCCAAAAGGTTGGAAAAGAGTTCCTACAAAGGTTTTGGACAGTGATTTTAACCCTAATGCCAAAAAACTTAAACCTTACCCTAGCCTCAAAATCTAATACCCGGGTATTACATTCAGGAACCCCGAAAACCCCAAATATTGTTTTTTAATTTTTCATTTTTTTTTGGTCTAACTAACTCCAAAAGGTTGGAAAAGAGTTCCTACAAAGGTTTTGGACAGTGATTTTAACCCTAACGCCAAAAAACTTAAACCTTACCATAGCCCCATAACCTAATACCTGGGTATTACTTTTAGGAAGCCTGAACACCCCAAATATTTTTTTTTCATTTTTCTTTTTTTTTTTGGTCTAACTAACTCCAAAAGGTTGGAAAAGAGTTCCTACAAAGGTTTTGGACAGTGATTTTAACCCTAACGCCAAAAAACTTAAACCTTACCCTGGCCTTAAAATCTAATACCTGGGTATTACTTTCAGGAAGCCCGAACACCCCAAATATTTTTTTTTTCATTTTCTTTTTTTTTGGTGTAACCAACTCCAAAAGGTTGGAAAAGAGTTCCTACAAAGGTTTTGGACAGTGATTTTAACCCTAACGCCAAAAAACTTAAACCTTACCCTAGCCTTAAAATCTAATACCCGGGTATTACATTCAGGAAGCCCGAAAACCCCAAATACTTTTTTTTCATTTTTCATTTTTTTTTTGGTCTAACTAACTCCAAAAGGTTGGAAAAGAGTTCCTACAAAGGTTTTGGACAGTGATTTTAAACCTAACGCCAAAACGTTAAACCTTACCATAGCCCCATAACCTAATACCCGGGTATTACTTTTAGGAAGCATGAACACCCCAAATATTTTTATTTCATTTTTCATTTTGTTTTTGGTCGAACTAACTCCAAAAGGTTGGAAAAGAGTTCCTACAAAGGTTTTGGACAGTGATTTTAACCCTAACGCCAAAAACCTTAAACCTTACCATAGCCCCATAACCTAATACCCGGGTATTACCTTCAGGAAGCCCGAACACCCCAAATATTTTTTTCTTCATTTTACATTTTTGTTGGTGTAACCAACTCCAAAAGGTTGGAAAAGAGTTCCTACAAAGGTTTTGGACAGTGATTTTAACCCTAACGCCAAAAACCTTAAACCTTACCATAGCCCCATAACCTAATACCCGGGTATTACCTTCAGGAAGCCCGAACACCCCAAATATTTTTTTTTCATTTTTCATTCTTTTTTGGTCTAACCAACTCCAAAAGGTTGGAAAAGAGTTCCTACAAAGGTTTTGGACAGTGATTTTAACCCTAACGCCAAAAACCTTAAACCTTACCATAGCCCCATAACCTAATACCTGGATATTACTTTTAGGAAGCCTGAACACCCCAAATATTTTTTTTTCATTTTTCTTTTTTTTTTGGTCTAACTAACTCCAAAAGGTTGGAAAAGAGTTCCTACAAAGGTTTTGGACAGTGATTTTAACCCTAACGCCAAAAAACTTAAACCTTACCCTAGCCTTAAAATCTAATACCCGGGTATTACATTCAGGAAGCCCGAAAACCCCAAATATATATTTTTTCATTTTTCATTTTTTTTTGGTTTATCTAATTCCAAAAGGTTGGAAAAGTGTTCCTACAACGGTTTTGGACAGGGATTTTAACCCTAACGCCAAAACGTTAAACCTTAACATAGCCCCATAACCTAATACCCGGGTATTACTTTTAGGAAGCCTGAACACCCCAAATATTTTTTTTTCATTTTTCTTTTTTTTTTGGTCAAACTAACTCCAAAAGGTTGGAAATGTTCCTACAAAGGTTTTGGACAGTGATTTTAACCCTAACGCCAAAAACCTTAAAACTTACCCTAGCCCCATAACCTAATTCCCGGGTATTACCTTCAGGAAGCCCGAACACCCCAAATATTTGTTTTTCATTTTACATTTTTGTTGGTGTAACCAACTCCAAAAGGTTGGAAAAGAGTTCCTACAAAGGTTTTGGACAGTGATTTTAACCCTAACGCCAAAAAACTTAAACCTTACCCTGGCATTAAAATCTAATACCCGGGTATTACATTAAGGAAGCCTGAACACCCCAAATATTTTTTTTTCATTTTTCATTTTTTTTGGTCTAACTAACTCCAAAAGGTTGGAAAAGAGTTCCTACAAAGGTTTTGGACAGTGATTTTAACCCTAACGCCAAAAACCTTAAACCTTACCATGGCCCCATAACCTAATACCCGGGTATTACTTTTAGGAAGCCTGAACACCCCAAATATATATTTTTTTCATTTTACATTTTTGTTGGTGTAACCAACTCCAAAAGGTTGGAAAAGAGTTCCTACAAAGGTTTTGGACAGTGATTGTAACCCTAACGCCAAAAAACTTAAACCTTACCATAGCCTTAAAATCTAATACCCGGGTATTATCTTCAGGAAGCCCAAACACCCCAAATATTTTTTTTTCATTTTACTTTTTTGTTGTTGTAACCAACTCCAAAAGGTTGGAAAAAAGTTCCTACAAAGGTTTTGGACAGTGATTTTAACCCTAACGCCAAAAACCTTAAACCTTTCCCTAGTCCCAAAACCTAATACCCGGGTATTACATTCAGGAAGCCCGGAAACCCCAAATATTTTTTTTTTCATTTTTCATTCTTTTTGTTGGTGTAACTAACTCCAAAAGGTTGGAAAAGAGTTCCTACAAAGGTTTTGGACAGTGATTTTAAACCTAACGCCAAAACGTTAAACCTTACCATAGCCCCATAACCTAATACCCGGGTATTACTTTTAGGAAGCCTGAACACCCCAAATATTTTTTTTTCATTTTTCTTTTTTTTTTGGTCTAACTAACTCCAAAAGGTTGGAAAAGAGTTCCTACAAAGGTTTTGGACAGTGATTTTAACCCTAACGCCAAAAACCTTAAACCTTTCCCTAGTCCCAAAACCTAATACCCGGGTATTACTTTCAGGGAGCCCGAAAACCCCCAATAATTTTTTTTTCTTTTTTCATTTTTTTTGGTGTAACCAACTCCAAAAGGTTGGAAAAGAGTTCCTACAAAGGTTTTGGACAGTGATTTTAACCCTAACGCCAAAAAACTTAAACCTTACCCTAGCCTTGAAATCTAATTCCCGGGTATTACCTTCAGGAAGCCCGAACACCCCAAATATTTTTTTTTTTCATTTTACATTTTTTTTGGTGTAACCAACTCCAAAAGGTTGGAAAAGAGTTCCTACAAAGGTTTTGGACAGTGATTTTAACCCTAACGCCAAAAAACTTAAACCTTACCATAGCCCCATAACCTAATACCCAGGTATTACTTTTAGGAAGCCTGAACACCCAAAATATTTTTTTCTTCATCTTACATTTTTGTTGGTGTAACCAACTCCAAAAGGTTGGAAAAGAGTTCCTACAAAGGTTTTGGACAGTGATTTTAACCCTAATGCCAAAAAACTTAAACCTTACCCTAGCCTCAAAATCTAATACCCGGGTATTACATTCAGGAACCCCGAAAACCCCAAATATTGTTTTTTAATTTTTCATTTTTTTTTGGTCTAACTAACTCCAAAAGGTTGGAAAAGAGTTCCTACAAAGGTTTTGGACAGTGATTTTAACCCTAACGCCAAAAAACTTAAACCTTACCATAGCCCCATAACCTAATACCTGGATATTACTTTTAGGAAGCCTGAACACCCCAAATATATATTTTTTTCATTTTACATTTTTGTTGGTGTAACCAACTCCAAAAGGTTGGAAAAGATTTCCTACAAAGGTTTTGGACAGTGATTGTAACCCTAACGCCAAAAACCTTAAACCTTACCCTAGCCTTAAAATCTAATACCCGGGTATTACCTTCAGGAAGCCCAAACACCCCAAATATTTTTTTTTCATTTTACTTTTTTGTTGTTGTAACCAACTCCAAAAGGTTGGAAAAGAGTTCCTACAAAGGTTTTGGACAGTGATTTTAACCCTAACGCCAAAAACCTTAAACCTTTCCCTAGTCCCAAAACCTAATACCCGGGTATTACATTCAGGAAGCCCGGAAACCCCAAATATTTTTTTTTTCATTTTTCATTCTTTTTTGGTCTAACTAACTCCAAAAGGTTGGAAAAGAGTTCCTACAAAGGTTTTGGACAGTGATTTTAAACCTAACGCCAAAAACGTTAAACCTTACCATAGCCCCATAACCTAATACCCGGGTATTACTTTTAGGAAGCCTGAACACCCCAAATATTTTTTTTTCATTTTTCTTTTTTTTTTTTTGGTCTAACTAACTCCAAAAGGTTGGAAAAGAGTTCCTACAAAGGTTTTGGACAGTGATTTTAACCCTAACGCCAAAAACCTTAAACCTTTCCTAGTCCCAAAACCTAATACCCGGGTATTACTTTCAGGAAGCCCGAAAACCCCCAAATAATTTTTTTTTCATTTTTCATTTTTTTTGGTGTAACTAACTCCAAAAGGTTGGAAAAGATTTCCTACAAAGGTTTTGGACAGTGATTTTAACCCTAACGCCAAAAAACTTAAACCTTACCCTAGCCTTAAAATCTAATACCCGGGTATTACATTCAGGAAGCCCGAAAACCCCAAATATTTATTTTTTCATTTTTCATTTTTTTTTGGTCTAACTAACTCCAAAAGGTTGGAAAAGAGTTCCTACAAAGGTTTTGGACAGTGATTTTAACCCTAACGCCAAAAAACTTAAACCTTACCCTAGCCTTAAAATCTAATACCCGGGTATTACATTCAGGAAGCCCGAAAACCCCAAATATATATTTTTTCATTTTTCATTTTTTTTTGGTTTATCTAATTCCAAAAGGTTGGAAAAGAGTTCCTACAAAGGTTTTGGACAGTGATTTTAACCCTGATGCCAAAAAACTTAAACCTTACCCTAGCCTTAAAATCTAATACCCGGGTATTACATTCAGGAAGCCCGAAAACCCCAAATATATATTTTTTCATTTTTCTTTTTTTTTCGGTCAAACTAACTCCAAAAGGTTGGAAAAGAGTTCCTACAAAGGTTTTGGACAGTGATTTTAACCCTAACGCCAAAAACCTTAAACCTTACCATAGCCCCATAACCTAATACCCAGGTATTACTTTTAGGAAGCCTGAACACCCCAAATATTTTTTTTTCATTTTTCTTTTTTTTTGGTCTAACTAACTCCAAAAGGTTGGAAAAGAGTTCCTACAAAGGTTTTGGACAGTGATTTTAACCCTAACGCCAAAAAACTTAAACCTTACCCTAGCCTTAAAATCTAATACCCGGGTATTACATTCAGGAAGCCCGAACACCCCAAATATTTTTTTTTTTTTCATTTTACATTTTTTTTTTGGTCTAACCAACTCCAAAAGGTTGGAAAAGAGTTCCTACAAAGGTTTTGGACAGTGATTTTAACCCTAACGCCAAAAACCTTAAACCTTACCCTAGCCTTGAAATCTAATACCCGGGTATTACCTTCAGGAAGCCTGAACACCCCAAATATTTTTTTCTTTTTTCATATTTTTTGGTCTAACTAACTCCAAAAGGTTGGAAAAGAGTTCCTACAAAGGTTTTGGACAGTGATTTTAACCCTAACGCCAAAAACCTTAAACCTTACCCTAGCCTTGAAATCTAATACCCGGGTATTACCTTCAGGAAGCCCGAACACCCCAAATATTTGTTTTTCATTTTACATTTTTGTTGGTGTAACCAACTCCAAAAGGTTGGAAAAGAGTTCCTACAAAGGTTTTGGACAGTGATTTTAACCCTAACGCCAAAAACCTTAAACCTTACCCTAGCCTTAAAATCTAATACCCGGGTATTACATTCAGGAAGCCTGAACACCCCAAATATTTTTTTTTCATTTTTCATTTTTTTTTGGTCTAACTAACTCCAAAAGGTTGGAAAAGAGTTCCTACAAAGGTTTTGGACAGTGATTTTAACCCTAACGCCAAAAACCTTAAACCTTTCCCTAGTCCCAAAACCTAATACCCGGGTATTACTTTCAGGGAGCCCGAAAACCCCCAATAATATTTTTTTCTTTTTTCATATTTTTTGGTCTAACTAACTCCAAAAGGTTGGAAAAGAGTTCCTACAAAGGTTTTGGACAGTGATTTTAACCCTAACGCCAAAAACCTTAAACCTTACCATAGCCCCATAACCTAATACCCGGGTATTACCTTCAGGAAGCCCGAACACCCCAAATATTTTTTTTTCATTTTTCATTTTTTTTGGTCTAACTAACTCCAAAAGGTTGGAAAAGAGTTCCTACAAAGGTTTTGGACAGTGATTTTAACCCTAACGCCAAAAACCTTAAACCTTACCATAGCCCCATAACCTAATACCCGGGTATTACTTTTAGGAAGCCTGAACACCCCAAATATTTTTTTTCATTTTTCTTTTTTTTTTTTGGTCAAACTAACTCCAAAAGGTTGGAAAAGAGTTCCTACAAAGGTTTTGGACAGTGATTTTAACCCTAACGCCAAAAACCTTAAACCTTACCATGGCCCCATAACCTAATACCCGGGTATTACTTTTAGGAAGCCTGAACACCCCAAATATATATTTTTTTCATTTTACATTTTTGTTGGTGTAACCAACTCCAAAAGGTTGGAAGAGTTCCTACAAAGGTTTTGGACAGTGATTGTAACCCTAACGCCAAAAAACTTAAACCTTACCCTAGCCTTAAAATCTAATACCCGGGTATTACCTTCAGGAAGCCCAAACACCCCAAATATTTTTTTTTCATTTTACTTTTTTGTTGTTGTAACCAACTCCAAAAGGTTGGAAAAGAGTTCCTACAAAGGTTTTGGACAGTGATTTTAACCCTAACGCCAAAAACCTTAAACCTTACCATAGCCCCATAACCTAATACCCGGGTATTACTTTTAGGAAGCCTGAACACCCCAAATATATATTTTTTTCATTTTACATTTTTGTTGGTGTAACCAACTCCAAAAGGTTGGAAAAGAGTTCCTACAAAGGTTTTGGACAGTGATTTTAACCCTAACGCCAAAAAACTTAAACCTTACCCTAGCCTTAAAATCTAATACCCGGGTATTACCTTCAGGAAGCCCAAACACCCCAAATATTTTTTTTTCATTTTACATTTTTGTTGGTTGTAACCAACTCCAAAAGGTTGGAAAAGAGTTCCTACAAAGGTTTTGGACAGTGATTTTAACCCTAACGCCAAAAAACTTAAACCTTACCATAGCCCCATAACCTAATACCTGGGTATTACTTTTAGGAAGCCTGAACACCCCAAATATTTTTTTTTCATTTTTCTTTTTTTTTTGGTCTAACTAACTCCAAAAGGTTGGAAAAGAGTTCCTACAAAGGTTTTGGACAGTGATTTTAACCCTAACGCCAAAAACCTTAAACCTTACCCTAGCCTTAAAATCTAATACCCGGGTATTACCTTCAGGAAGCCCGAACACCCCAAATATGTTTTTTTCATTTTACATTTTTGTTGGTGTAACTAACTCCAAAAGGTTGGAAAAGAGTTCCTACAAAGGTTTTGGACAGTGATTTTAACCCTAATGCCAAAAAACTTAAACCTTACCCTAGCCTTAAAATCTAATACCCGGGTATTACATTAAGGAAGCCTGAACACCCCAAATATTTTTTTTTCATTTTTCTTTTTTTTTGGTCTAACTAACTCCAAAAGGTTGGAAAAGAGTTCCTACAAAGGTTTTGGACAGTGATTTTAACCCTAACGCCAAAAACCTTAAACCTTACCCTAGCCTTAAAATCTAATACCCGGGTATTACATTCAGGAAGCCCGAACACCCCAAATATTTTTTTTTCATTTTTCATTTTTTTTTGGTCTAACTAACTCCAAAAGGTTGGAAAAGAGTTCCTACAAAGGTTTTGGACAGTGATTTTAACCCTAACGCCAAAAACCTTAAACCTTACCCTAGTCCCAAAACCTAATACCCGGGTATTACTTTCAGGAAGCCCGAAAACCCCAAATATTTTTTTTTTTCTTTTTTCATATTTTTTGGTCTAACTAACTCCAAAAGGTTGGAAAAGAGTTCCTACAAAGGTTTTGGACAGTGATTTTAACCCTAACGCCAAAAAACTTAAACCTTACCCATAGCCCCATAACCTAATACCCGGGTATTACTTTAAGGAAGCCTGAACACCCCAAATATTTTTTTTCATTTTTCATTTTTTTTTGGTCTAACCAACTCCAAAAGGTTGGAAAAGAGTTCCTACAAAGGTTTTGGACAGTGATTTTAACCCTAACGCCAAAAACCTTAAACCTTACCCTAGCCTTAAAATCTAATACCCGGGTATTACATTCAGGAACCCCGAAAACCCCAAATATTGTTTTTTCATTTTTCATTTTTTTTGGTCTAACTAACTCCAAAAGGTTGGAAAAGAGTTCCTACAAAGGTTTTGGACAGTGATTTTAACCCTAACGCCAAAAACCTTAAACCTTACCATAGCCCCATAACCTAATACCCGGGTATTACTTTTAGGAAGCCTGAACACCCCAAATATTTTTTTTTCATTTTTCTTTTTTTTTGGTCTAACTAACTCCAAAAGGTTGGAAAAGAGTTCCTACAAAGGTTTTGGACAGTGATTTTAACCCTAACGCCAAAAAACTTAAACCTTACCCTAGCCTTAAAATCTAATACCCGGGTATTACATTCAGGAAGCCCGAACACCCCAAAAATTTTTTTTCTCATTTTACATTTTTTTTTGGTGTAACCAACTCCAAAAGGTTGGAAAAGAGTTCCTACAAAGGTTTTGGACAGTGATTTTAACCCTAACGCCAAAAACCTTAAACCTTACCATAGCCCCATAACCTAATACCCGGGTATTACTTTTAGGAAGCCTGAACACCCCAAATATTTTTTTTTCATTTTTCTTTTTTTTTGGTCAAACTAACTCCAAAAGGTTGGAAAAGAGTTCCTACAAAGGTTTTGGACAGTGATTTTAACCCTAACGCCAAAAACCTTAAACCTTACCCTAGCCCCATAACCTAATACCCGGGTATTACCTTCAGGAAGCCCGAACACCCCAAATATTTTTTTTTCATTTTACATTTTTGTTGGTGTAACCAACTCCAAAAGGTTGGAAAAGAGTTCCTACAAAGGTTTTGGACAGTGATTTTAACCCTAATGCCAAAAAACTTAAACCTTACCCTAGCCTCAAAATCTAATACCCGGGTATTACATTAAGGAAGCCTGAACACCCCAAATATTTTTTTTTCATTTTTCATTTTTTTTGGTCTAACTAACTCCAAAAGGTTGGAAAAGAGTTCCTACAAAGGTTTTGGACAGTGATTTTAACCCTAACGCCAAAAACCTTAAACCTTTCCCTAGTCCCAAAACCTAATACCCGGGTATTACTTTCAGGGAGCCCGAAAACCCCCAATAATATTTTTTTCTTTTTTCATATTTTTTGGTCTAACTAACTCCAAAAGGTTGGAAAAGAGTTCCTACAAAGGTTTTGGACAGTGATTTTAACCCTAACGCCAAAAACCTTAAACCTTACCATAGCCCCATAACCTAATACCCAGGTATTACCTTCAGGAAGCCCGAACACCCCAAATATTTTTTTTTCATTTTTCATTCTTTTTTGGTCTAACTAACTCCAAAAGGTTGGAAAAGAGTTCCTACAAAGGTTTTGGACAGTGATTTTAACCCTAACGCCAAAAACCTTAAACCTTACCATAGCCCCATAACCTAATACCTGGTATTACTTTAAGGAAGCCTGAACACCCCAAATATTTTTTTTCATTTTTCTTTTTTTTTGGTCTAACTAACTCCAAAAGGTTGGAAAAGAGTTCCTACAAAGGTTTTGGACAGTGATTTTAACCCTAACGCCAAAAACCTTAAACCTTACCCTAGCCCCATAACCTAATACCCGGGTATTACCTTCAGGAAGCCCGAACACCCCAAATATTTTTTTTCATTTTCATTTTTGTTGGTGTAACTAACTCCAAAAGGTTGGAAAAGAGTTCCTACAAAGGTTTTGGACAGTGATTTTAACCCTAACGCCAAAAACCTTAAACCTTACCCTAGCCTTGAAATCTAATACCCGGGTATTACCTTCAGGAAGCCCGAACACCCCAAATATTTTTTTTCATTTTTCTTTTTTTTTTGGTGTAACCAACTCCAAAAGGTTGGAAAAGAGTTCCTACAAAGGTTTTGGACAGTGATTTTAACCCTAATACCAAAAAACTTAAACCTTACCCTAGCCTCAAAATCTAATACCCGGGTATTACATTAAGGAAGCCTGAACACCCCAAATATTTTTTTTTTCATTTTTCATTTTTTTTGGTCTAACTAACTCCAAAAGGTTGGAAAAGAGTTCCTACAAAGGTTTTGGACAGTGATTTTAACCCTAACGCCAAAAACCTTAAACCTTTCCCTAGTCCCAAAACCTAATACCCGGGTATTACTTTCAGGGAGCCCGAAAACCCCAATAATATTTTTTTCTTTTTTCATATTTTTTGGTCTAACTAACTCCAAAAGGTTGGAAAAGAGTTCCTACAAAGGTTTTGGACAGTGATTTTAACCCTAACGCCAAAAACCTTAAAACTTACCATAGCCCCATAACCTAATACCCAGGTATTACCTTCAGGAAGCCCGAACACCCCAAATATTTTTTTTCATTTTTCATTCTTTTTTGGTCTAACTAACTCCAAAAGGTTGGAAAAGAGTTCCTACAAAGGTTTTGGACAGTGATTTTAACCCTAACGCCAAAAACCTTAAACCTTACCATAGCCCCATAACCTAATACCTGGATATTACTTTTAGGAAGCCTGAACACCCCAAATATTTTTTTTTCATTTTTCTTTTTTTTTTGGTCAAACTAACTCCAAAAGGTTGGAAATGTTCCTACAAAGGTTTTGGACAGTGATTTTAACCCTAACGCCAAAAACCTTAAAACTTACCCTAGCCCCATAACCTAATTCCCGGGTATTACCTTCAGGAAGCCCGAACACCCCAAATATTTTTTTTTTCATTTTACATTTTTGTTGGTGTAACCAACTCCAAAAGGTTGGAAAAGAGTTCCTACAAAGGTTTTGGACAGTGATTTTAACCCTAACGCCAAAAAACTTAAACCTTACCCTGGCATTAAAATCTAATACCCGGGTATTACATTAAGGAAGCCTGAACACCCCAAATATTTTTTTTTCATTTTTCATTTTTTTTGGTCTAACTAACTCCAAAAGGTTGGAAAAGAGTTCCTACAAAGGTTTTGGACAGTGATTTTAACCCTAACGCCAAAAACCTTAAACCTTACCATGGCCCCATAACCTAATACCCGGGTATTACTTTTAGGAAGCCTGAACACCCCAAATATATATTTTTTTCATTTTACATTTTTGTTGGTGTAACCAACTCCAAAAGGTTGGAAAAGAGTTCCTACAAAGGTTTTGGACAGTGATTTTAACCCTAACGCCAAAAACCTTAAACCTTACCCTAGCCTTAAAATCTAATACCCGGGTATTACCTTCAGGAAGCCCAAACACCCCAAATATTTTTTTTTCATTTTACATTTTTGTTGGTGTAACCAACTCCAAAAGGTTGGAAAAGAGTTCCTACAAAGGTTTTGGACAGTGATTTTAACCCTAACGCCAAAAACCTTAAACCTTACCCTAGCCCAATAACCTAATACCCGGGTATTACTTTCAGGGAGCCCGAAAACCCCCAAATAATTTTTTTTTCATTTTTCATTTTTTTTGGTGTAACTAACTCCAAAAGGTTGGAAAAGAGTTCCTACAAAGGTTTTGGACAGTGATTTTAACCCTAACGCCAAAAACCTTAAACCTTACCCTAGCCTTAAAATCTAATACCGGGTATTACCTTCAGGAAGCCCGAACACCCCAAATATTTTTTTTTCATTTTACATTTTTGTTGGTGTAACCAACTCCAAAAGGTTGGAAAAGAGTTCCTACAAAGGTTTTGGACAGTGATTTTAACCCTAACGCCAAAAAACTTAAACCTTACCCTAGCCTTAAAATCTAATACCCGGGTATTACATTCAGGAAGCCCGAACACCCCAAATATATATTTTTTCATTTTTCATTTTTGTTTTGGTTTAACTAACTCCAAAAGGTTGGAAAAGAGTTCCTACAAAGGTTTTGGACAGTGATTTTAACCCTAACGCCAAAAAACTTAAACCTTACCCTAGCCTTAAAATCTAATACCCGGGTATTACATTCAGGAAGCCCGAAAACCCCAAATATATATTTTTTCATTTTTCATTTTTTTTTTGGTTTATCTAATTCCAAAAGGTTGGAAAAGTGTTCCTACAAAGGTTTTGGACAGGGATTTTAACCCTAACGCCAAAAAACTTAAACCTTAACCTAGCCTTAAAATCTAATACCCGGGTATTACATTCAGGAAGCCCGAAAACCCCAAATATATATTTTTTCATTTTTCTTTTTTTTTTTGGTCAAACTAACTCCAAAAGGTTGGAAAAGAGTTCCTACAAAGGTTTTGGACAGTGATTTTAACCCTAACGCCAAAAACCTTAAACCTTTCCCCAGTCCCAAAACCTAATACCCGGGTATTACCTTCAGGAAGCCCGAACACCCCAAATATTTGTTTTTCATTTTTCATTTTTTTTTGGTCTAACTAACTCCAAAAGGTTGAAAAAGAGTTCCTACAAAGGTTTTGGACAGTGATTTTAACCCTAACGCCAAAAAACTTAAACCTTACCCTAGCCTTAAAATCTAATACCCGGGTATTACATTCAGGAAGCCCGAAAACCCCAAATATATATTTTTTCATTTTTCATTTTTTTTTGGTTTATCTAATTCCAAAAGGTTGGAAAAGTGTTCCTACAAAGGTTTTGGACAGGGATTTTAACCCTAACGCCAAAAAACTTAAACCTTACCCTAGCCTTAAAATCTAATACCCGGGTATTACATTCAGGAAGCCCGAAAACCCCAAATATATATTTTTTCATTTTTCTTTTTTTTTCGGTCAAACTAACTCCAAAAGGTTGGAAAAGAGTTCCTACAAAGGTTTTGGACAGTGATTTTAACCCTAACGCCAAAAACCTTAAACCTTTCCCTAGTCCCAAAACCTAATACCCGGGTATTACTTTCAGGGAGCCCGAAAACCCCCAATAATATTTTTTTCTTTTTTTATATTTTTTGGTCTAACTAACTCCAAAAGGTTGGAAAAGAGTTCCTACAAAGGTTTTGGACAGTGATTTAAACCCTAATGCCAAAAAACTTAAACCTTACCCTGGCATTAAAATCTAATACCCGGGTATTACATTAAGGAAGCCTGAACACCCCAAATATTTTTTTTTCATTTTTCATTTTTTTTGGTCTAACTAACTCCAAAAGGTTGGAAAAGAGTTCCTACAAAGGTTTTGGACAGTGATTTTAACCCTAACGCCAAAAACCTTAAACCTTACCCTAGCCTTGAAATCTAATACCCGGGTATTACCTTCAGGAAGCCAGAACACCCCAAATATTTGTTTTTCATTTTACATTTTTGTTGGTGTAACCAACTCCAAAAGGTTGGAAAAGAGTTCCTACAAAGGTTTTGGACAGTGATTTTAACCCTAACGCCAAAAACCTTAAACCTTACCATAGCCCCATAACCTAATACCCAGGTATTACTTTTAGGAAGCCTGAACACCCCAAATATTTTTTTTTCATTTTTCTTTTTTTTTTGGTCAAACTAACTCCAAAAGGTTGGAAAAGAGTTCCTACAAAGGTTTTGGACAGTGATTTTAACCCTAACGCCAAAAACCTTAAACCTTACCCTAGCCCCATAACCTAATACCCGGGTATTACCTTCAGGAAGCCCGAACACCCCAAATATTTTTTTTTCATTTTACATTTTTGTTGGTGTAACCAACTCCAAAAGGTTGGAAAAGAGTTCCTACAAAGGTTTTGGACAGTGATTTTAACCCTAACGCCAAAAACCTTAAACCTTACCCTAGCCTCAAAATCTAATACCCGGGTATTACATTCAGGAAGCCTGAACACCCCAAATATTTTTTTTTCATTTTTCATTTTTTTTTGGTCTAACTAACTCCAAAAGGTTGGAAAAGAGTTCCTACAAAGGTTTTGGACAGTGATTTTAACCCTAACGCCAAAAACCTTAAACCTTTCCCTAGTCCCAAAACCTAATACCCGGGTATTACTTTCAGGGAGCCCGAAAACCCCAATAATATTTTTTTCATTTTTCATATTTTTTGGTCTAACTAACTCCAAAAGGTTGGAAAAGAGTTCCTACAAAGGTTTTGGACAGTGATTTTAACCCTAACGCCAAAAACCTTAAACCTTACCATAGCCCCATAACCTAATACCCGGGTATTACCTTCAGGAAGCCCGAACACCCCAAATATTTTTTTTTCATTTTTCATTTTTTTTTGGTCTAACTAACTCCAAAAGGTTGGAAAAGAGTTCCTACAAAGGTTTTGGACAGTGATTTTAACCCTAACGCCAAAAACCTTAAACCTTACCATAGCCCCATAACCTAATACCCGGGTATTACTTTTAGGAAGCCTGAACACCCCAAATATTTTTTTTTTCATTTTTCTTTTTTTTTGGTCTAACTAACTCCAAAAGGTTGGAAAAGAGTTCCTACAAAGGTTTTGGACAGTGATTTTAACCCTAACGCCAAAAACCTTAAACCTTACCCTAGCCCCATAACCTAATACCCGGGTATTACCTTCAGGAAGCCCGAACACCCCAAATATTTTTTTTTCATTTTACATTTTACATTTTTTTTGGTGTAACTAACTCCAAAAGGTTGGAAAAGAGTTCCTACAAAGGTTTTGGACAGTGATTTTAACCCTAACGCCGAAAAACTTAAACCTTACCCTGGCATTAAAATCTAATACCCGGGTATTACTTTTAGGAAGCCTGAACACCCCAAATATTTTTTTCTTCTTTTTTCATTTCTTTTTGGTCTAACTAACTCCAAAAGGTTGGAAAAGAGTTCCTACAAAGGTTTTGGACAGTGATTTTAACCCTAACGCCAAAAACCTTAAACCTTACCATAGCCCCATAACCTAATACCCGGGTATTACTTTTAGGAAGCCTGAACACCCCAAATATTTTTTTTTCATTTTACATTTTTGTTGGTGTAACCAACTCCAAAAGGTTGGAAAAGAGTTCCTACAAAGGTTTTGGACAGTGATTTTAACCCTAACGCCAAAAAACTTAAACCTTACCCTAGCCTCAAAATCTAATACCCGGGTATTACATTCAGGAACCCCGAAAACCCCAAATATTTTTTTTAATTTTTCATTTTTTTTTGGTCTAACTAACTCCAAAAGGTTGGAAAAGAGTTCCTACAAAGGTTTTGGACAGTGATTTTAACCCTAACGCCAAAAACCTTAAACCTTACCCTAGCCCCATAACCTAATACCCGGGTATTACCTTCAGGAAGCCCGAACACCCCAAATATTTTTTTTCATTTTACATTTTTGTTGGTCTAACTAACTCCAAAAGGTTGGAAAAGAGTTCCTACAAAGGTTTTGGACAGTGATTTTAACCCTAACGCCAAAAAACTTAAACCTTACCCTGGCATTAAAATCTAATACCCGGGTATTACATTCAGGAAGCCTGAACACCCCAAATATTTTTTTTCATTTTTCATTTTTTTTGGTCTAACTAACTCCAAAAGGTTGGAAAAGAGTTCCTACAAAGGTTTTGGACAGTGATTTTAACCCTAACGCCAAAAACCTTAAACCTTTCCCTAGTCCCAAAACCTAATACCCGGGTATTACTTTCAGGAAGCCCGAAAACCCCAATAATATTTTTTTTTTTTTTATTTTTTTGGTCTAACTAACTCCAAAAGGTTGGAAAAGAGTTCCTACAAAGGTTTTGGACAGTGATTTTAACCCTAACGCCAAAAAACTTAAACCTTACCCTAGCCTTAAAATCTAATACCCGGGTATTACATTAAGGAAGCCTGAACACCCCAAATATTTTTTTTTTCATTTTTCATTTTTTTTGGTCTAACTAACTCCAAAAGGTTGGAAAAGAGTTCCTACAAAGGTTTTGGACAGTGATTTTAACCCTAACGCCAAAAACCTTAAACCTTACCCTAGCCTTGAAATCTAATACCCGGGTATTACCTTCAGGAAGCCTGAACACCCCAAATATTTTTTTTTCATTTTACATTTTTGTTGGTGTAACCAACTCCAAAAGGTTGGAAAAGAGTTCCTACAAAGGTTTTGGACAGTGATTTTAACCCTAACGCCAAAAAACTTAAACCTTACCATAGCCCCATAACCTAATACCTGGTATTACTTTTAGGAAGCCTGAACACCCCAAATATTTTTTTTTCATTTTTCTTTTTTTTTTGGTCTAACTAACTCCAAAAGGTTGGAAAAGAGTTCCTACAAAGGTTTTGGACAGTGATTTTAACCCTAACGCCAAAAACCTTAAACCTTACCCTAGCCCCAAAACCTAATACCCGGGTATTACCTTCAGGAAGCCCGAACACCCCAAATATTTTTTTTTTTTTTTTTCATTTTTTTGGTCTAACTAACTCCAAAAGGTTGGAAAAGAGTTCCTACAAAGGTTTTGGACAGTGATTTTAACCCTAACGCCAAAAACCTTAAACCTTACCCTAGCCTCAAAATCTAATACCCGGGTATTACATTCAGGAAGCCTGAACACCCCAAATATTTTTTTTTCATTTTTCATTTTTTTTGGTCTAACTAACTCCAAAAGGTTGGAAAAGAGTTCCTACAAAGGTTTTGGACAGTGATTTTAACCCTAACGCCAAAAACCTTAAACCTTTCCCTAGTCCCAAAACCTAATACCCGGGTATTACTTTCAGGGAGCCCGAAAACCCCCAAATATTTTTTTCTTTTTTCATATTTTTTGGTCTAACTAACTCCAAAAGGTTGGAAAAGAGTTCCTACAAAGGTTTTGGACAGTGATTTTAACCCTAACGCCAAAAACCTTAAACCTTACCATAGCCCCATAACCTAATACCCGGGTATTACCTTCAGGAAGCCCGAACACCCCAAATATTTTTTTTTCATTTTTCATTTTTTTTGGTCTAACCAACTCCAAAAGGTTGGAAAAGAGTTCCTACAAAGGTTTTGGACAGTGATTTTAACCCTAACGCCAAAAACCTTAAACCTTACCATAGCCCCATAACCTAATACCCGGGTATTACTTTAAGGAAGCCTGAACACCCCAAATATTTTTTTTTCATTTTTCTTTTTTTTTGGTCAAACTAACTCCAAAAGGTTGGAAAAGAGTTCCTACAAAGGTTTTGGACAGTGATTTTAACCCTAACGCCAAAAACCTTAAACCTTACCCTAGCCCCATAACCTAATACCCGGGTATTACCTTCAGGAAGCCCGAACACCCCAAATATTTTTTTTTCATTTTTACATTTTTTTTGGTCTAACTAACTCCAAAAGGTTGGAAAAGAGTTCCTACAAAGGTTTTGGACAGTGATTTTAACCCTAACGCCAAAAACCTTAAACCTTACCCATAGCCCCATAACCTAATACCCGGGTATTACTTTTAGGAAGCCTGAACACCCCAAATATTTTTTTTTCATTTTTCTTTTTTTTTTGGTCTAACTAACTCCAAAAGGTTGGAAAAGAGTTCCTACAAAGGTTTTGGACAGTGATTTTAACCCTAACGCCAAAAAACTTAAACCTTACCCTAGCCTTAAAATCTAATACCCGGGTATTACATTCAGGAAGCCCGAACACCCCAAATATTTTTTTTCATTTTACATTTTTTTTGGTGTAACTAACTCCAAAAGGTTGGAAAAGAGTTCCTACAAAGGTTTTGGACAGTGATTTTAACCCTAACGCCAAAAACCTTAAACCTTACCCTAGCCTTTAAATCTAATACCCGGGTATTACCTTCAGGAAGCCTGAACACCCCAAATATTTTTTTCTTTTTTCATATTTTTTGGTCTAACTAACTCCAAAAGGTTGGAAAAGAGTTCCTACAAAGGTTTTGGACAGTGATTTTAACCCTAACGCCAAAAACCTTAAACCTTACCCTAGCCTTAAAATCTAATACCCGGGTATTACATTCAGGAACCCCGAAAACACCCCAAATATTTTTTTTCTTTTTTCATTTTTTTGGTCTAACTAACTCCAAAAGGTTGGAAAAGAGTTCCTACAAAGGTTTTGGACAGTGATTTTAACCCTAACGCCAAAAACCTTAAACCTTACCATAGCCCCATAACCTAATACCCGGGTATTACTTTTAGGAAGCCTGAACACCCCAAATATTTTTTTTTCATTTTTCTTTTTTTTTTTGGTCTAACTAACTCCAAAAGGTTGGAAAAGAGTTCCTACAAAGGTTTTGGACAGTGATTTTAACCCTAACGCCAAAAAACTTAAACCTTACCCTAGCCTTAAAATCTAATACCCGGGTATTACTTTCAGGAAGCCCGAACACCCCAAAAATTTTTTTTCTCATTTTACATTTTTTTTGGTGTAACCAACTCCAAAAGGTTGGAAAAGAGTTCCTACAAAGGTTTTGGACAGTGATTTTAACCCTAACGCCAAAAACCTTAAACCTTTCCCTAGTCCCAAAACCTAATACCCGGGTATTACTTTCAGGGAGCCCGAAAACCCCCAATAATATTTTTTTCTTTTTTCATATTTTTTGGTCTAACTAACTCCAAAAGGTTGGAAAAGAGTTCCTACAAAGGTTTTGGACAGTGATTTTAACCCTAACGCCAAAAACCTTAAACCTTACCATAGCCCCATAACCTAATACCCGGGTATTACCTTCAGGAAGCCCGAACACCCCAAATATTTTTTTTTTTTCATTTTTCATATTTTTTGGTCTAACCAACTCCAAAAGGTTGGAAAAGAGTTCCTACAAAGGTTTATGACAGTGATTTTAACCCTAACGCCAAAAACCTTAAACCTTACCATAGCCCCATAACCTAATACCTGGATATTACTTTAAGGAAGCCTGAACACCCCAAATATTTGTTTTTCATTTTTCTTTTTTTTTTGGTCTAACTAACTCCAAAAGGTTGGAAAAGAGTTCCTACAAAGGTTTTGGACAGTGATTTTAACCCTAACGCCAAAAACCTTAAACCTTACCCTAGCCCCATAACCTAATACCCGGGTATTACCTTCAGGAAGCCCGAACACCCCAAATATTTTTTTTTCATTTTACATTTTTTTGGTGTAACCAACTCCAAAAGGTTGGAAAAGAGTTCCTACAAAGGTTTTGGACAGTGATTTTAACCCTAATGCCAAAAAACTTAAACCTTACCCTAGCCCTAAAATCTAATACCCGGGTATTACATTAAGGAAGCCTGAACACCCCAAATATTTTTTTTTCATTTTTCTTTTTTTTTGGTCTAACTAACTCCAAAAGGTTGGAAAAGAGTTCCTACAAAGGTTTTGGACAGTGATTTTAACCCTAACGCCAAAAACCTTAAACCTTACCCTGGCCTTAAAATCTAATACCCGGGTATTACATTCAGGAAGCCCGAACACCCCAAAATATTTTTTTCTCATTTTTCTTTTTTTTTTTGGTCTAACCAACTCCAAAAGGTTGGAAAAGAGTTCCTACAAAGGTTTTGGACAGTGATTTTAACCCTAACGCCAAAAACCTTAAACCTTTCCCTAGTCCCAAAACCTAATTCCCGGGTATTACCTTCAGGAAGCCCGAACACCCCAAATATTTTTTTTTCATTTTTCATTTTTTTTGGTCTAACTAACTCCAAAAGGTTGGAAAAGAGTTCCTACAAAGGTTTTGGACAGTGATTTTAACCCTAACGCCAAAAACCTTAAACCTTACCATAGCCCCATAACCTAATACCCGGGTATTACTTTAAGGAAGCCTGAACACCCCAAATATTTTTTTTCATTTTTCTTTTTTTGGTCTAACTAACTCCAAAAGGTTGGAAAAGAGTTCCTACAAAGGTTTTGGACAGTGATTTTAACCCTAACGCCAAAAACCTTAAACCTTACCCTAGCCCCATAACCTAATACCCGGGTATTACCTTCAGGAAGCCCGAACACCCCAAATATTTTTTTTCATTTTACATTTTTTTGGTCTAACCAACTCCAAAAGGTTGGAAAAGAGTTCCTACAAAGGTTTTGGACAGTGATTTTAACCCTAACGCCAAAAACCTTAAACCTTACCCTAGCCTTAAAATCTAATACCCGGGTATTACATTAAGGAAGCCCGAACACCCCAAATATTTGTTTTTCATTTTACATTTTTGTTGGTGTAACCAACTCCAAAAGGTTGGAAAAGAGTTCCTACAAAGGTTTTGGACAGTGATTTTAACCCTAACGCCAAAAACCTTAAACCTTACCCTAGCCTTAAAATCTAATACCCGGGTATTACATTCAGGAAGCCCGAACACCCCAAATATTTTTTTTTCATTTTACATTTTTTTTGGTGTAACCAACTCCAAAAGGTTGGAAAAGAGTTCCTACAAAGGTTTTGGACAGTGATTTTAACCCTAACGCCAAAAACCTTAAACCTTACCCTAGCCCAATAACCTAATACCCGGGTATTACTTTCAGGAAGCCCGAAAACCCCAAATATTTTTTTTTCATTTTTCATTTTTTTTGGTCTAACTAACTCCAAAAGGTTGGAAAAGAGTTCCTACAAAGGTTTTGGACAGTGATTTTAACCCTAACGCCAAAAACCTTAAACCTTACCATAGCCCCATAACCTAATACCCGGGTATTACCTTCAGGAAGCCCGAACACCCCAAATATTTTTTTTTCATTTTTCATTTTTTTTGGTCTAACTAACTCCAAAAGGTTGGAAAAGAGTTCCTACAAAGGTTTTGGACAGTGATTTTAACCCTAACGCCAAAAACCTTAAACCTTACCCTAGCCCCATAACCTAATACCTGGGTATTACTTTCAGGAAGCCTGAACACCCCAAATATTTTTTTTCATTTTTCTTTTTTTTTGGTCTAACTAACTCCAAAAGGTTGGAAAAGAGTTCCTACAAAGGTTTTGGACAGTGATTTTAACCCTAACGCCAAAAACCTTAAACCTTACCCTAGCCCCATAACCTAATACCCGGGTATTACCTTCAGGAAGCCCGAACACCCCAAATATTTTTTTTTCATTTTACATTTTTTTGGTGTAACCAACTCCAAAAGGTTGGAAAAGAGTTCCTACAAAGGTTTTGGACAGTGATTTTAACCCTAACGCCAAAAAACTTAAACCTTACCCTGGCATTAAAATCTAATACCCGGGTATTACATTCAGGAAGCCTGAACACCCCAAATATTTTTTTTTCATTTTTCATTTTTTTTGGTCTAACTAACTCCAAAAGGTTGGAAAAGAGTTCCTACAAAGGTTTTGGACAGTGATTTTAACCCTAACGCCAAAAACCTTAAACCTTACCCTAGCCTTAAAATCTAATACCCAGGTTACATTCAGGAAGCCCGAAAACCCCAAATATTTTTTTTTCATTTTTCATTTTTTTTTGGTCTAACTAACTCCAAAAGGTTGGAAAAGAGTTCCTACAAAGGTTTTGGACAGTGATTTTAACCCTAACGCCAAAAAACTTAAACCTTACCCTAGCCTTAAAATCTAATACCCGGGTATTACATTCAGGAAGCCCGAAAACCCCAAATATTTTTTTTTCATTTTTCATTTTTTTTTGGTCTAACTAACTCCAAAAGGTTGGAAAAGAGTTCCTACAAAGGTTTTGGACAGTGATTTTAACCCTAACGCCAAAAACTTAAACCTTACCCTAGCCTTAAAATCTAATACCCGGGTATTACATTCAGGAAGCCCGAAAACCCCAAATATATATTTTTTCATTTTTTTTTTTTTTTGGTCTAACTAACTCCAAAAGGTTGGAAAAGAGTTCCTACAAAGGTTTTGGACAGTGATTTTAACCCTAACGCCAAAAACCTTAAACCTTTCCCTAGTCCCAAAACCTAATACCCGGGTATTACTTTCAGGAAGCCCGAACACCCCAAATATTTTTTTTCATTTTCATTTTTTTTGGTCTAACTAACTCCAAAAGGTTGGAAAAGAGTTCCTACAAAGGTTTTGGACAGTGATTTTAACCCTAACGCCAAAAAACTTAAACCTTACCCTAGCCTTGAAATCTAATACCCGGGTATTACCTTCAGGAAGCCTGAACACCCAAAATATTTTTTTCTTCATCTTACATTTTTGTTGGTCTAACTAACTCCAAAAGGTTGGAAAAGAGTTCCTACAAAGGTTTTGGACAGTGATTTTAACCCTAACGCCAAAAAACCTTAAACCTTACCATAGCCCCAAAATCTAATACCCGGGTATTACCTTCAGGAAGCCGAAACACCCCAAATATTTTTTTGTCCATTTTTCTTTTTTTTTTGGTCTAACTAACTCCAAAAGGTTGGAAAAGAGTTCCTACAAAGGTTTTGGACAGTGATTTTAACCCTAACGCCAAAAACCTTAAACCTTACCATGGCCCCATAACCTAATACCCGGGTATTACTTTTAGGAAGCCTGAACACCCCAAATATATATTTTTTTCATTTTAAATTTTTTTTGGTGTAACCAACTCCAAAAGGTTGGAAAAGAGTTCCTACAAAGGTTTTGGACAGTGATTTTAACCCTAACGCCAAAAAACTTAAACCTTACCCTAGCCTTAAAATCTAATACCCGGGTATTACCTTCAGGAAGCCCAAACACCCCAAATATTTTTTTTTCATTTTACTTTTTTGTTGTTGTAACCAACTCCAAAAGGTTGGAAAAGAGTTCCTACAAAGGTTTTGGACAGTGATTTTAACCCTAACGCCAAAAACCTTAAACCTTTCCCTAGCCCCAAAACCTAATACCCGGGTATTACTTTCAGGAAGCCCGAAAACCCCAAATATTTTTTTTTCATTTTTCATTTTTTTTGGTCTAACTAACTCCAAAAGGTTGGAAAAGAGTTCCTACAAAGGTTTTGGACAGTGATTTTAACCCTAACGCCAAAAAACTTAAACCTTACCCTAGCCTTAAAATCTAATACCCGGGTATTACCTTCAGGAAGCCCGAACACCCCAAATATTTTTTTGTTCATTTTACATTTTTGTTGGTGTAACCAACTCCAAAAGGTTGGAAAAGAGTTCCTACAAAGGTTTTGGACAGTGATTTTAACCCTAACGCCAAAAAACTTAAACCTTACCCTAGCCTTAAAATCTAATACCCGGGTATTACATTCAGGAAGCCCGAAAACCCCAAATATATATTTTTTCATTTTTCATTTTTTTTTGGTCTAACTAACTCCAAAAGGTTGGAAAAGAGTTCCTACAAAGGTTTTGGACAGTGATTTTAACCCTAACGCCAAAAAACTTAAACCTTACCCTAGCCTTAAAATCTAATACCCGGGTATTACCTTCAGGAAGCCTGAACACCCCAAATATTTTTTTATTTTTTCATATTTTTTGGTCTAACTAACTCCAAAAGGTTGGAAAAGAGTTCCTACAAAGGTTTTGGACAGTGATTTTAACCCTAACGCCAAAAACCTTAAACCTTACCCTAGCCTTGAAATCTAATACCCGGGTATTACCTTCAGGAAGCCTGAACACCCCAAATATTTTTTTCTTCATCTTACATTTTTGTTGGTGTAACCAACTCCAAAAGGTTGGAAAAGAGTTCCTACAAAGGTTTTGGACAGTGATTTTAACCCTAATGCCAAAAAACTTAAACCTTACCCTAGCCTTAAAATCTAATACCCGGGTATTACATTCAGGAAGCCCGAAAACCCCAAATATTGTTTTTTAATTTTTCATTTTTTTTTGGTCTAACTAACTCCAAAAGGTTGGAAAAGAGTTCCTACAAAGGTTTTGGACAGTGATTTTAACCCTAACGCCAAAAAACTTAAACCTTACCCTGGCATTAAAATCTAATACCCGGGTATTACATTAAGGAAGCCTGAACACCCCAAATATTTTTTTTTCATTTTTCATTTTTTTTTGGTCTAACTAACTCCAAAAGGTTGGAAAAGAGTTCCTACAAAGGTTTTGGACAGTGATTTTAACCCTAACGCCAAAAACCTTAAACCTTTCCCTAGTCCCAAAACCTAATACCCGGGTATTACTTTTAGGAAGCCTGAACACCCCAAATATTTTTTTTTCTTTTTTCATATTTTTTGGTCTAACTAACTCCAAAAGGTTGGAAAAGAGTTCCTACAAAGGTTTTGGACAGTGATTTTAACCCTAACGCCGAAAAACTTAAACCTTACCCTGGCATTAAAATCTAATACCCGGGTATTACATTTAGGAAGCCTGAACACCCCAAATATTTTTTTTTCATTTTTCATTTTTTTTGGTCTAACTAACTCCAAAAGGTTGGAAAAGAGTTCCTACAAAGGTTTTGGACAGTGATTTTAACCCTAACGCCAAAAACCTTAAACCTTACCCTAGCCTTGAAATCTAATACCCTGGTATTACCTTCAGGAAGCCAGAACACCCCAAATATTTGTTTTTCATTTTACATTTTTGTTGGTGTAACCAACTCCAAAAGGTTGGAAAAGAGTTCCTACAAAGGTTTTGGACAGTGATTTTAACCCTAACGCCAAAAACCTTAAACCTTACCATAGCCCCATAACCTAATACCCGGGTATTACTTTTAGGAAGCCTGAACACCCCAAATATTTTTTTTTCATTTTTCTTTTTTTTTTGGTCAAACTAACTCCAAAAGGTTGGAAATGTTCCTACAAAGGTTTTGGACAGTGATTTTAACCCTAACGCCAAAAACCTTAAAACTTACCCTAGCCCCATAACCTAATTCCCGGGTATTACCTTCAGGAAGCCCGAACACCCCAAATATTTGTTTTTCATTTTACATTTTTGTTGGTGTAACCAACTCCAAAAGGTTGGAAAAGAGTTCCTACAAAGGTTTTGGACAGTGATTTTAACCCTAACGCCAAAAACCTTAAACCTTACCCTAGCCTCAAAATCTAATACCCGGGTATTACATTCAGGAAGCCTGAACACCCCAAATATTTTTTTTTCATTTTTCATTTTTTTTGGTCTAACTAACTCCAAAAGGTTGGAAAAGAGTTCCTACAAAGGTTTTGGACAGTGATTTTAACCCTAACGCCAAAAACCTTAAACCTTTCCCTAGTCCCAAAACCTAATACCCGGGTATTACTTTCAGGGAGCCCGAAAACCCCCAATAATATTTTTTTCATTTTTTTTTTTTTTTTGGTCTAACTAACTCCAAAAGGTTGGAAAAGAGTTCCTACAAAGGTTTTGGACAGTGATTTTAACCCTAACGCCAAAAACCTTAAAACTTACCATAGCCCCATAACCTAATTCCCAGGTATTACCTTCAGGAAGCCCGAACACCCCAAATATTTTTTTTTCATTTTTCATTCTTTTTTGGTCTAACTAACTCCAAAAGGTTGGAAAAGAGTTCCTACAAAGGTTTTGGACAGTGATTTTAACCCTAACGCCAAAAACCTTAAACCTTACCCTAGCCCCATAACCTAATACCCGGGTATTACTTTTAGGAAGCCTGAACACCCCAAATATTTTTTTTTCATTTTTCTTTTTTTTTTGGTCTAACTAACTCCAAAAGGTTGGAAAAGAGTTCCTACAAAGGTTTTGGACAGTGATTTTAACCCTAACGCCAAAAACCTTAAACCTTACCCTAGCCCCATAACCTAATTCCCGGGTATTACCTTCAGGAAGCCCGAACACCCCAAATATTTTTTTTTCATTTTACATTTTTGTTGGTGTAACCAACTCCAAAAGGTTGGAAAAGAGTTCCTACAAAGGTTTTGGACAGTGATTTTAACCCTAACGCCAAAAAACTTAAACCTTACCCTGGCATTAAAATCTAATACCCGGGTATTACATTAAGGAAGCCTGAACACCCCAAATATTTTTTTTTCATTTTTCATTTTTTTTGGTCTAACTAACTCCAAAAGGTTGGAAAAGAGTTCCTACAAAGGTTTTGGACAGTGATTTTAACCCTAACGCCAAAAACCTTAAACCTTACCATAGCCCCATAACCTAATACCCGGGTATTACTTTTAGGAAGCCTGAACACCCCAAATATTTTTTTTTCATTTTACATTTTTGTTGGTGTAACCAACTCCAAAAGGTTGGAAAAGAGTTCCTACAAAGGTTTTGGACAGTGATTTTAACCCTAATGCCAAAAAACTTAAACCTTACCCTAGCCTCAAAATCTAATACCCGGGTATTACATTCAGGAACCCCGAAAACCCCAAATATTTTTTTTAATTTTTCATTTTTTTGGTCTAACTAACTCCAAAAGGTTGGAAAAGAGTTCCTACAAAGGTTTTGGACAGTGATTTTAACCCTAACGCCAAAAACCTTAAACCTTACCCTAGCCCCATAACCTAATACCCGGGTATTACCTTCAGGAAGCCCGAACACCCCAAATATTTTTTTTCATTTTACATTTTTTTTGGTGTAACCAACTCCAAAAGGTTGGAAAAGAGTTCCTACAAAGGTTTTGGACAGTGATTTTAACCCTAACGCCGAAAAACTTAAACCTTACCCTAGCCATTAAAATCTAATACCCGGGTATTACATTAAGGAAGCCTGAACACCCCAAATATTTTTTTTTTTTCATTTTTCTTTTTTTTTGGTCTAACTAACTCCAAAAGGTTGGAAAAGAGTTCCTACAAAGGTTTTGGACAGTGATTTTAACCCTAACGCCAAAAACCTTAAACCTTACCCTAGCCCCAAAACCTAATACCCGGGTATTACTTTCAGGAAGCCCGAAAACCCCCAATAATTTTTTTTTCTTTTTTCATTTTTTTGGTCTAACTAACTCCAAAAGGTTGGAAAAGAGTTCCTACAAAGGTTTTGGACAGTGATTTAAACCCTAATGCCAAGAAACTTAAACCTTACCCTGGCATTAAAATCTAATACCCGGGTATTACATTAAGGAAGCCTGAACACCCCAAATATTTTTTTTTCATTTTTCATTTTTTTTGGTCTAACTAACTCCAAAAGGTTGGAAAAGAGTTCCTACAAAGGTTTTGGACAGTGATTTTAACCCTAACGCCAAAAACCTTAAACCTTACCCTAGCCTTGAAATCTAATACCCGGGTATTACCTTCAGGAAGCCCGAACACCCCAAATATTTGTTTTTCATTTTACATTTTTGTTGGTGTAACCAACTCCAAAAGGTTGGAAAAGAGTTCCTACAAAGGTTTTGGACAGTGATTTTAACCCTAACGCCAAAAAACTTAAACCTTACCCTAGCCTTAAAATCTAATACCCGGGTATTACATTAAGGAAGCCTGAACACCCCAAATATTTTTTTTTCATTTTTCATTTTTTTTGGTCTAACTAACTCCAAAAGGTTGGAAAAGAGTTCCTACAAAGGTTTTGGACAGTGATTTTAACCCTAACGCCAAAAACCTTAAACCTTACCCTAGCCTTAAAACCTAATACCCGGGTATTACATTCAGGAAGCCCGAAAACCCCAAATATTTTTTTCATTTTTCATATTTTTTGGTCTAACTAACTCCAAAAGGTTGGAAAAGAGTTCCTACAAAGGTTTTGGACAGTGATTTTAACCCTAACGCCAAAAACCTTAAACCTTACCATAGCCCAATAACCTAATTCCCAGGTATTACCTTCAGGAAGCCCGAACACCCCAAATATTTTTTTTTCATTTTTCATATTTTTTGGTCTAACCAACTCCAAAAGGTTGGAAAAGAGTTCCTACAAAGGTTTTGGACAGTGATTTTAACCCTAACGCCAAAAACCTTAAACCTTACCATAGCCCCATAACCTAATACCCAGGTATTACTTTTAGGAAGCCTGAACACCCCAAATATTTTTTTTTCATTTTTCTTTTTTTTTGGTCTAACTAACTCCAAAAGGTTGGAAAAGAGTTCCTACAAAGGTTTTGGACAGTGATTTTAACCCTAACGCCAAAAACCTTAAACCTTACCCTAGCCCCATAACCTAATACCCGGGTATTACCTTCAGGAAGCCCGAACACCCCAAATATTTTTTTTTCATTTTACATTTTTGTTGGTGTAACCAACTCCAAAAGGTTGGAAAAGAGTTCCTACAAAGGTTTTGGACAGTGATTTTAACCCTAACGCCAAAAACCTTAAACCTTACCATAGCCCCATAACCTAATACCCGGGTATTACCTTCAGGAAGCCCGAACACCCCAAATATTTTTTTTTCATTTTTCATTCTTTTTTGGTCATTTTTGTTGGTGTAACCAACTCCAAAAGGTTGGAAAAGAGTTCCTACAAAGGTTTTGGACAGTGATTTTAACCCTAATGCAAAAAAACTTAAACCTTACCCTAGCCTCAAAATCTAATACCCGGGTATTACATTCAGGAACCCCGAAAACCCCAAATATTTTTTTTTAATTTTTCATTTTTTTTTGGTCTAACTAACTCCAAAAGGTTGGAAAAGAGTTCCTACAAAGGTTTTGGACAGTGATTTTAACCCTAACGCCAAAAACCTTAAACCTTACCCTAGCCCCATAACCTAATACCCGGGTATTACCTTCAGGAAGCCCGAACACCCCAAATATTTTTTTTCATTTTACATTTTTTTGGTGTAACTAACTCCAAAAGGTTGGAAAAGAGTTCCTACAAAGGTTTTGGACAGTGATTTTAACCCTAACGCCAAAAAACTTAAACCTTACCCTAGCCTTAAAATCTAATACCCGGGTATTACATTCAGGAAGCCTGAACACCCCAAATATTTTTTTTTTCATTTTTCATTTTTTTTGGTCTAACTAACTCCAAAAGGTTGGAAAAGAGTTCCTACAAAGGTTTTGGACAGTGATTTTAACCCTAACGCCAAAAACCTTAAACCTTACCATGGCCCCATAACCTAATACCCGGGTATTACTTTTAGGAAGCCTGAACACCCCAAATATATATTTTTTTCATTTTAAATTTTTGTTGGTGTAACCAACTCCAAAAGGTTGGAAAAGAGTTCCTACAAAGGTTTTGGACAGTGATTGTAACCCTAACGCCAAAAAACTTAAACCTTACCCTAGCCTTAAAATCTAATACCCGGGTATTACCTTCAGGAAGCCCAAACACCCCAAATATTTTTTTTTCATTTTACTTTTTTGTTGTTGTAACCAACTCCAAAAGGTTGGAAAAGAGTTCCTACAAAGGTTTTGGACAGTGATTTTAACCCTAACGCCAAAAACCTTAAACCTTTCCCTAGTCCCAAAACCTAATACCCGGGTATTACTTTCAGGGAGCCCGAAAACCCCCAATAAAATTTTTTTCTTTTTTCATATTTTTTGGTCTAACTAACTCCAAAAGGTTGGAAAAGAGTTCCTACAAAGGTTTTGGACAGTGATATTAACCCTAACGCCAAAAACCTTAAAACTTACCATAGCCCCATAACCTAATTCCCAGGTATTACCTTCAGGAAGCCCGAACACCCCAAATATTTTTTTTTCATTTTTCATTTTTTTTGGTCTAACCAACTCCAAAAGGTTGGAAAAGAGTTCCTACAAAGGTTTTGGACAGTGATTTTAACCCTAACGCCAAAAACCTTAAACCTTACCATAGCCCCATAACCTAATACCCGGGTATTACTTTTAGGAAGCCTGAACACCCCAAATATTTTTTTTTCATTTTTCTTTTTTTTTGGTCTAACTAACTCCAAAAGGTTGGAAAAGAGTTCCTACAAAGGTTTTGGACAGTGATTTAAACCCTAACGCCAAAACCTTAAACCTTACCCTAGCCCCATAACCTAATACCCGGGTATTACCTTCAGGAAGCCCGAACACCCCAAATATTTTTTTTTCATTTTACATTTTTGTTGGTGTAACCAACTCCAAAAGGTTGGAAAAGAGTTCCTACAAAGGTTTTGGACAGTGATTTTAACCCTAACGCCAAAAAACTTAAACCTTACCCTGGCCATTAAAATCTAATACCCGGGTATTACATTAAGGAAGCCTGAACACCCCAAATATTTTTTTTTCATTTTTCATTTTTTTTGGTCTAACTAACTCCAAAAGGTTGGAAAAGAGTTCCTACAAAGGTTTTGGACAGTGATTTTAACCCTAACGCCAAAAACCTTAAACCTTACCATGGCCCCATAACCTAATACCCGGGTATTACTTTTAGGAAGCCTGAACACCCCAAATATATATTTTTTTCATTTTACATTTTTTTTGGTGTAACCAACTCCAAAAGGTTGGAAAAGAGTTCCTACAAAGGTTTTGGACAGTGATTTTAACCCTAACGCCAAAAAACTTAAACCTTACCTAGCCTTAAAATCTAATACCCGGGTATTACCTTCAGGAAGCCCAAACACCCCAAATATTTTTTTTTCATTTTACTTTTTTGTTGGTGTAACCAACTCCAAAAGGTTGGAAAAGAGTTCCTACAAAGGTTTTGGACAGTGATTTTAACCCTAACGCCAAAAACCTTAAACCTTTCCCTAGTCCCAAAACCTAATACCCGGGTATTACATTCAGGAAGCCCGGAAACCCCAAATATTTTTTTTCATTTTTCATTTTTTTTTGGTCTAACTAACTCCAAAAGGTTGGAAAAGAGTTCCTACAAAGGTTTTGGACAGTGATTTTAACCCTAACGCCAAAAACCTTAAACCTTACCATAGCCCCATAACCTAATACCCGGGTATTACTTTTAGGAAGCCTGAACACCCCAAATATTTTTTTTTCATTTTTCATTTTTTTTTTGGTCTAACTAACTCCAAAAGGTTGGAAAAGAGTTCCTACAAAGGTTTTGGACAGTGATTTTAACCCTAACGCCAAAAACCTTAAACCTTACCATAGCCAAAAAACTAATACCCGGGTATTACCACAGGAAGCCCGAAAACCCCAAATATTTTTTTTTTCATTTTTCATCCTTTTTTTGGTCTAACTAACTCCAAAAGGTTGGAAAAGAGTTCCTACAAAGGTTTTGGACAGTGATTTTAACCCTAACGCCAAAAACCTTAAACCTTACCATAGCCCCAAAACCTAATACCCGGGTATTACTTTTAGGAAGCCTGAACACCCCAAATATTTTTTTTTCATTTTTCATTTTTTTTTGGTCTAACTAACTCCAAAAGGTTGGAAAAGAGTTCCTACAAAGGTTTTGGACAGTGATTTTAACCCTAACGCCAAAAACCTTAAACCTTACCCTAGCCCAAAACCTAATACCCGGGTATTACTTTCAGGAAGCCCGAAAACCCCAAATATTTTTTTTTCTTTTTCATTTTTTTTTTGGTCTAACTAACTCCAAAAGGTTGGAAAAGAGTTCCTACAAAGGTTTTGGACAGTGATTTTAAACCTAATGCCAAAAACTTTAAACCTTACCATAGCCCCATAACCTAATACCCGGGTATTACTTTTAGGAAGCCTGAACACCCCAAATATTTTTTTTTCATTTTTCATTTTTTTTTGGTCTAACTAACTCCAAAAGGTTGGAAAAGAGTTCCTACAAAGGTTTTGGACAGTGATTTTAACCCTAACGCCATTAAGCTTAAACCTTACCCTAGCCTTTAAATCTACTACCCGGGTATTACCACAGGAAGCCCGAACACCCCAAATATTTTTTTTTTTCATTTTACATTTTTGTTGGTGTAACCAACTCCAAAAGGTTGGAAAAGAGTTCCTACAAAGGTTTTGGACAGTGATTTTAACCCTAATGCCAAAAACCTTAAACCTTACCATAGCCCCATAACCTAATACCCGGGTATTACTTTTAGGAAGCCTGAACACCCCAAATATTTTTTTTTCATTTTTCTTTTTTTTTTGGTCTAACTAACTCCAAAAGGTTGGAAAAGAGTTCCTACAAAGGTTTTGGACAGTGATTTTAACCCTAACGCCAAAAAACTTAAACCTTACCCTGGCCTTAAAATCTAATACCCGGGTATTACATTAAGGAAGCCCGGAAACCCCAAATATTTTTTTTTCTTTTTTCATTTTTTTTTTGGTCTAAGTAACTCCAAAAGTTTGGAAAAGAGTTCCTACAAAGGTTTTGGACAGTGATTTTAACCCTAACGCCATTAAGCTTAAACCTTACCATAGCCTTTAAATCTAATACCCGGGTATTACCACAGGAAGACCGAAAACCCCAAATATTTTTTTTTCCTTTTTCATATTTTTTTGGTCTAACTAACTCCAAAAGGTTGGAAAAGAGTTCCTACAAAGGTTTTGGACAGTGATTTTAACCCTAACGCCAAAAAACTTAAACCTTACCCTGGCCTTAAAATCTAATACCCGGGTATTACTTTTAGGAAGCCTGAACACCCCAAATATTTTTTTTTCATTTTTCATTTTTTTTGGTCTAACTAACTCCAAAAGGTTGGAAAAGAGTTCCTACAAAGGTTTTGGACAGTGATTTTAACCCTAATGCCAAAAAACTTAAACCTTACCCTGGCCTTAAAATCTAATACCCGGGTATTACATTAAGGAAGCCCGGAAACCCCAAATATTTTTTTTTCATTTTTCATTCTTTTTTTGGTCTAACTAACTCCAAAAGGTTGGAAAGAGTTCCTACAAAGGTTTTGGACAGTGATTTTAAACCTAATGCCAAAAACCTTAAACCTTACCATAGCCCCATAACCTAATACCCGGGTATTACTTTTAGGAAGCCTGAACACCCCAAATATTTTTTTTTCATTTTTCATTTTTTTTGGTCTAACTAACTCCAAAAGGTAGGAAAAGAGTTCCTACAAAGGTTTTGGACAGTGATTTTAACCCTAACGCCAAAAACCTTAAACCTTACCATAGCCCCATAACCTAATACCCAGGTATTACCTTCAGGAAGCCCGAACACCCCAAATATTTTTTTTTTCATTTTTCATTTTTGTTGGTCTAACTAACTCCAAAAGGTTGGAAAAGAGTTCCTACAAAGGTTTTGGACAGTGATTTTAACCCTAACGCCAAAAACCTTAAACCTTACCCTAGCCCCAAAACCTAATACCCGGGTATTACCTTCAGGAAGCCCGAAAACCCCAAATATTTTTTTTTCCTTTTTAATATTTTTTGGTCTAACTAACTCCAAAAGGTTGGAAAAGAGTTCCTACAAAGGTTTTGGACAGTGATTTTAACCCTAACGCCAAAAACCTTAAACCTTACCATAGCCCCATAACCTAATACCCGGGTATTACTTTTAGGAAGCCTGAACACCCCAAATATTTTTTTTTCATTTTTCATTTTTTTTTTGGTCTAACTAACTCCAAAAGGTTGGAAAAGAGTTCCTACAAAGGTTTTGGACAGTGATTTTAACCCTAACGCCAAAAACCTTAAACCTTACCCTAGCCTTAAAATCTAATACCCGGGTATTACTTTTAGGAAGCCCGAACACCCCAAATATTTTTTTTTTCATTTTACATTTTTGTTGGTGTAACCAACTCCAAAAGGTTGGAAAAGAGTTCCTACAAAGGTTTTGGACAGTGATTTTAACCCTAACGCCAAAAACCTTAAACCTTACCATAGCCCCATAACCTAATACCCGGGTATTACTTTCAGGAAGCCTGAACACCCCAAATATTTTTTTTTCATTTTTCTTTTTTTTTGGTCTAACTAACTCCAAAAGGTTGGAAAAGAGTTCCTACAAAGGTTTTGGACAGTGATTTTAACCCTAACGCCATAAAACTTAAACCTTTCCCTGGCCTTAAAATCTAATACCCGGGTATTACATTAAGGAAGCACAAAAACCCCAAACATTTTTCTTTTCATTTTTCATTTTTTTTTGGTCTAACTAACTCCAAAAGGTTGGAAAGAGTTCCTACAAAGGTTTTGGACAGTGATTTTAACCCTAATGCCAAAAACCTTAAACCTTACCATAGCCCCATAACCTAATACCCGGGTATTACTTTTAGGAAGCCTGAACACCCCAAATATTTTTTTTTCATTTTTCATTTTTTTTTTTGGTCTAACTAACTCCAAAAGGTTGGAAAAGAGTTCCTACAAAGGTTTTGGACAGTGATTTTAACCCTAATGCCAAAAACCTTAAACCTTACCATAGCCCCATAACCTAATACCCGGGTATTACTTTCAGGAAGCCCGAACACCCCAAATATTTTTTTTTTCATTTTACATTTTTGTTGGTGTAACCAACTCCAAAAGGTTGGAAAAGAGTTCCTACAAAGGTTTTGGACAGTGATTTTAACCCTAATGCCAAAAACTTAAACCTTACCATAGCCCCATAACCTAATACCCGGGTATTACCTTCAGGAAGCCCGAACACCCCAAATATTTTTTTTTCATTTTACATTTTTGTTGGTGTAACCAACTCCAAAAGGTTGGTGTTACACCCCACCCTTAGGCGGCCCTATGGGGCCAACAACAATCCTCAACTTTTTACCCATCAAATTAACCAAAACACCTTCAAGAGTTTAACACGTGATTTATTGTGAAAAAACAACAAAATTGCAAACTAAACACAAAGCACCCACAACACAAATGAGAGGCAGCAGGGCAGCAGTTCCCCACCAAATGCCTCTCCAGACTGCAGGCAGCTCTGGGCTTTTAGACTCCCAGCACCAGGTGAGTCTGATTGTCACTCAAGTGATTTCACCTGGGCAGCTATGGAGAGACAAAGAGGAAAACACATGCAAAACAAACACACAGCCGTAACAGTTGGAAAAGAGTTCCTACAAAGGTTTTGGACAGTGATTTTAACCCTAACGCCAAAAACTTAAACCTTACCCTAGCCTTAAAATCTAATACCCGGGTATTACTTTTAGGAAGCCTGAACACCCCAAATATATTTTTTTCATTTTACATTTTTTTTGGTGTAACTAACTCCAAAAGGTTGGAAAAGAGTTCCTACAAAGGTTTTGGACAGTGATTTTAACCCTAATGCCAAAAACCTTAAACCTTACCATAGCCCCATAACCTAATACCCGGGTATTACATTTAGGAAGCCTGAACACCCCAAATATTTTTTTTTCATTTTTTTTTTTTTTTTTTGGTCTAACTAGCTCCAAAAAATTGGAAATGAGTTCCTACAAAGGTTTTGGACAGTGATTTTAACCCTAACGCCATAAAACTTAAACCTTTCCCTGGCCTTAAAATCTAATACCCGGGTATTACATTCAGGAAGCCCGAAAACCCCAAATATTTTTTTTCATTTTACATTTTTGTTGGTGTAACTAACTCCAAAAGGTTGGAAAAGAGTTCCTACAAAGGTTTTGGACAGTGATTTTAACCCTAACGCCAAAAACCTTAAACCTTACCATAGCCCCATAACCTAATACCCGGGTATTACCTTCAGGAAGCCCGAACACCCCTAACATTTTTTTTTCATTTTACATTTTTGTTGGTGTAACCAACTCCAAAAGGTTGGTGTTACACCCCACCCTTAGGCGGCCCTATGGGGCCAACAACAATCCTCAACTTTTTACCCATCAAATTAACCAAAACACCTTCAAGAGTTTAACACGTGATTTATTGTGAAAAAACAACAAAATTGCAAACTAAACACAAAGCACCCACAACA